TATCATGCAATTTCTCACCCTGTCATTCAGATTCAACCCTAGCATACTCCTTAAAGACCGCATTTCTACAGCATTTATTCTACTTTCGTGCTTCTTCTGCCACACCCAGCTTTCACTACCATACATTAAAGTAGGGACTAACACAGCATTATGAATTACCATACGTACTTGGTCTAATAAAGGACAATCTAATTTATTTCTAAATATTTTATATAAAAGTTGCAAATCCAGAATATCTCGGCGTTTAGACTGTGAGACCATTTTAAATGTCTTTAATCTGTCTACATATGATGCATTTTTATATGATTTTCGTGTTGAGAAGGCAAGATGCCATAAAAATCTTTTTTGTATGCGCTCAAGCCGTAGGTATGGGTAGAATAATGGGGACGCCAGACTGTGCTACAATATTCTAATATACTTCTAACAATTGAGAAGTATAAAAGTTTTATTGTGGTAACATTACGGAATTCTTTACTGTTTCTTATAAGAAAACCTAATGATTGAGATGATCTTTTAATAACACTTTCTAGTTGTGGTATAAATGTAAGTTTTTTATCGAATACTACACCTAGGTCCTTAACAGTTTCCACTTCTTGGATAACTACTCCATTGAGGGTATAAACCGATGAAAAAATATTATTTTTGCGCGTGAATTTAACGTGTACACATTTTTTTAGATTAAGATTCATTTCATTAAGATCGCACCATTTGGAAAGTCTAATTAAATCCTCCTGAAGAAGTATCATGTATGACGATTTATTAACGATTTTGCAGAATTTTAAATCGTCAGCGTACATAAAACAATTGGAATGTAAGAAACAATTAGGAATATCGTTAATAAACATGTTAAATAAAATTGGCCCCAAATGTGATCCTTGGGGAACTCCGGATGTGATGGGAAATACATCAGAACTGAACCCATTAACAACAACAAAATACTTTCGACCTTTTAGATAAGACCTTAACCACGTGAGAATAGGGCCTGCAAAACCATAAGCTTCTAACTTTCTTAAGAGCATAACATGTGACACTCGATCGAAAGCCTTACTGAAATCAGTGTATATTACATCTATTTGCTGTTGCATGTCTACAGCTTTCACCAAGGTTTCAACAAACGTAACTAAATAGAGCTAGTCGAACGAAATTTGACAAATCCATGTTGGTCATCTGTATATATATATATAAATATATATATATATATATATATATATATATATATATATATATATATATATATATATATATATATATAAAGTGTCTTGCATAATTTTGAATATAGGGACATACTAATGATTCAAATATTTGGAACAAACTGGAGCAAAATGCACGATCATCAAATGCAGAAATCCAATGTGTTCCAGAAAGGAAGTCGGAAAATGTGTTGAATATTGTTAAGGATATATTTAAAGTAATTAACTATAACATAAGCGAAGATAAAATTGTTAACTGTACACGCATTGCAAAAATGAATCGGAGCAGCCCCCGACCACGTTCAATTATTGTTCAGTTTACAACACCTTTCATACGCGATCAGATGGATGTCTCCAACAAGCTTAATTCAACTCATCTCGGTTTCCCCCGGAAGTAAAATTCCTATTTATATAACGGAGCATTTGTCTCCAGCCAACAAAGCCTTGCATGCAGCCTCCAGGATAAAAGCGAAAGAAATAAACTTTAAATACGTTTGGGTGAGGAAGGGACGAATCTACATGAGAAAGGACAATTCTAACTATCACCTCATCAAAAACATGAGCCTCCTGGAGAAATTAGTATAATCTTCTTAGTTATATATAGATCTAATAATAATGTATGTTGAATATTTTTAACTAAAATACGATAATTTACAGTTAAGTATTTACTACCAGAATGTACGTGGTTTGCGAACAAAAACTTTAAATTTTTACCGTAAATTGTGCTGTTTCGATTATGATATCATCATATTGACTGAAACATGGTTGAATCATACGATTATAAATAATGAGCTATTTGATAACAGATATGTAGTGTACAGAAGGGACAGAGAAACTACTGGTTTTCATTCTAATAAAGATGGTGGAGGAGTATTGATAGCTGTATCTAGTAGACTAAAGTCAAAAAGAAATGAAATGAAAGTAAATGTGAAGATCTTTGGGTTACTCTAGATGTTACAGATGGAAAGAACTATTTTCTAATTGCCTTTTGTGCTGTCTGTATTCCTCCACCAATTCAGTTTAAAATATTGGAATGTTTTCTTAGTAACTGTAACTCCTTGTTTGAAAAATTGAAACTAAAGACTTGCATTGTTGGTGATTTTGAACTTACCTAACGTTAATTGGAATCTCGTCAATGAATTGAATAGCAATTATTCTGCTCCCTTTATGGCTTAAAGTCTTATAGATTTCTGTTACATTAATAAACTACAACAGTGCAATCTCGTCGAAAATAAAATGGGAAGAATCCTGTATTTAGTTCTAATAAATTGTTCACATTGCATTGTTAATGAGGCATATGATATATAACATAGATCCTTTACATCCTCCGATTGAAATACAACTATTTATATCTGAGAAGCATAAACTAAAATACAATTCCAATATCAAAAAGCGTAATTTCTATAAAGCTGATTATGATAAAATTCGTGAACATACAAAATATTTGAATCATTAGTATGTCCCTATATTCAAAATTATGCAAGACACTTTATATATATATATATATATATATATATATATATATATATATATATATATATATATATATATATATATATATATATATATATATATATATATATATATATATATATATATAAAATATTTTGGGAAAGATTGATAATATTGAAATCGGTCTATAATTACTAACCAAAGTTTCATCATCCGCTTTATGTATAGGGACAACTTTAGCGACCTTCCACATATCTGGAAAGCGTCCTGTTTGTAAAGATTTGTTATATATAAAACAAAGAGGAGTAGATAGTTCTATGGCACATTCAGCGATGTAGTAAGGTGAAATAGCGTCTGGACCAGCTCCTTTTTTTCGGTCTAAGCCCTTTAATTTTTTTTAAACTGATTTTTCATCCAAAATCAAAGTGCCAAAATGATAATTATTGTTATCTAAATATTTTAAATATTCGTTATTTGAATCATATTTATCAAGCCTGTTAGGATTGTCCACGGTGTATACTGAGGAGAAATGTGAGACAAAAAGATTGCATATATCACACCCATCTGTTATCATTACACTACCATTAGTCATTGCACTCGGATACTTACTATTCCCAAGCCGTTTAGTTTTGATATAAGACCAAAAAGTTTTATAATTTATGACAACATTATCTTCTATACATTTTATATAAGCGTAGTAGCAGGTTTTAGCTAATTTATCACATCTCTTATTAAGTAACTTTATGCTGAGTAAATCCATTGCGTTATTATTTTTTATACCTAGACCTCACCTTATTTTTTCCTTCATTACATTAATCAGACTCCGACTAAACCAAATAGGATATTTACTACTTTTGATCGTACTCCATGGGACAAATTTTTCTATTGTTAAATTTATAATTTTATAAAAAACTGAGACGATACTATTTATGTCATCCAACCCCTTAAATAACACGTCCCAATTGATTTTACTTAAATGTTCACGAATTTTATCATAATCAGCTTTATAGAAATTACGCTTTTTGATATTGGAATTGTATTTTAGTTTATGCTTCTCAGATATAAATAGTTGTATTTCAATCGGAGGATGTAAAGGATCTATGTTATATATCATATGCCTCATTAACAATGCAATGTGAACAATTTATTAGAACTAAATACAGGATTCTCCCCATTTTATTTTCGACGAGATTGCACTGTTGTAGTTTATTAATGTAACAGAAATCTATAAGACTTTAAGCCATAAAGGGAGCAGAATAATTGCTATTCAATTCATTGACGAGATTCCAATTAACGTTAGGTAAGTTCAAAATCACCAACAATGCAAGTCTTTAGTTTCAATTTTTCAAACAAGGAGTTACAGTTACTAAGAAAACATTCCAATATTTTAAACTGAATTGGTGGAGGAATATAGACAGCACAAAAGGCAATTAGAAAATAGTTCTTTCCATCTGTAACATCTAGAGTAACCCAAAGATCTTCACATTTACTTTCATTTCATTTCTTTTTGACTTTAGTCTACTAGATACAGCTATCAATACTCCTCCACCATCTTTATTAGAATGAAAACCAGTAGTTTCTCTGTCCCTTCTGTACACTACATATCTGTTATCAAATAGCTCATTATTTATAATCGTATGATTCAACCATGTTTCAGTCAATATGATGATATCATAATCGAAACAGCACAATTTACGGTAAAAATTTAAAGTTTTTGTTCGCAAACCACGTACATTCTGGTAGTAAATACTTAACTGTAAATTATCGTATTTTAGTTAAAAATATTCAACATACATTATTATTAGATCTATATATAACTAAGAAGATTATACTAATTTCTCCAGGAGGCTCATGTTTTTGATGAGGTGATAGTTAGAATTGCCGTCCTTTCTCATGTAGATTCGTCCCTTCCTCACCCAAACGTATTTAAAGTTTATTTCTTTCGCTTTTATCCTGGCGGCTGCATGCAAGGCTTTGTTGGCTGGAGACAAATGCTCCGTTATATAAATAGGAATTTTACTTCCGGGGAAACCGAGATGAGTTGAATTAAGCTTGTTGGAGACATCCATCTGATCGCGTATGAAAGGTGTTGTAAACTGAACAATAATTGAACGTGGTCGGGGGCTGCTCCGATTCATTTTTGCAATGCGTGTACAGTTAATAATTTTATCTTCGCTTATGTTATAGTTAATTACCTTAAATATATCCTTAACAATATTTAACACATTTTCCGACTTCCTTTCTGGAACACATTGGATTTCTGCATTTGATGATCGTGCATTTTGCTCCAGTTGGTTGACGCGTATCGTTAATTCCTGAACAATAGATTTTACTTTGCAATTTTCATCCTGAAGCTCTTTATAACTTTTTTTTCATAGCTAAACTTTCCATTTTACACTCTTCAAATTCAGCGTTCATAAACTCCATAGATTCCTTCATTTTTGATAATTCTTCACTTACATCCTTTAGCTGCTTATTCAATGTGTCTAATACACTTTTACTTATTTTATTATAGAGGCTCTCCATTTCTTTCTGTATCACAGTCTGCACTATTTCTTTTACTTCATCTCTAGTCACTGGGGTATCGCTGCTTTTGCACGGGGGGGAATATGATTGTTTCTTGCTTCCTCTGACAGTAATGTTCCTTACTGGCATATTATCATCCTTCCCTGATTTCGGAGCTTTACTTGTACATAATGGACACTTCCAACCATATAATGACTCTGTCATGTCCTGATTTTCAGGTAAGGCAAGACAAGATTTGTGATAAACTTTTTTACAATTAGTACAACGCAGGAATGCATCATGAGCAGAACCTCCATCACAACAACCCCATGACAACTTGACACTTGAAAACGGAGTGTTCGGCATCACGAATTATAAAGTATATAACTATAATAACAAAATTGAATGTCTGCCCACACAAAAATGAAATAGAGTTCTTATAAAATAGAAACAACTTTTTATATAAAAAAATATATAAAAAAAACATATATTAAAACAAAGGATTTAAAAAAAATATTAAAAAGAAGTTGCAGTTTCGATCTTGCACCACTAAGATAACGTTTGATAATGTGAAACCAATCCGCCGCTTAGTTGCGTTGAATAGTCGTTTCATTTTACACCAGTATGTGATGTTCACGATATTAATATATGAGTCGACGGGTATATGATAGACTTGATCATTTATCAGTCAAAAATACCGTCACAACACTTATTAAACACATTAATTATCACTGTATTTAGACTATATTTTACTTTGCAAATACGTCCATAATTAGCAGAGAGGTTTATAGGCTTTTTAAACTACAACAATTAAAAATACACCATTAACCAATTTTAATCAATTTTAAAAAGCTGGGAACGAAAGAACTTGTCCGCGTGCGCATACGACTTCCTTCCATGATATATGTATGTATTTACTTTAGTACAGTATATTTCAAATACAAATTTTGTTTTAATTATTACTTTAACGTTTGAACTGCATGAAGCAGTAACACTTCGACGTCTGCAATTTTAAAAGTGCTGTTTTTGGTGGCAACTTCATTTTTTGCTTGAGCCCATACCGAGTCAATTGGGTTATATTGGCAATGGTAAGGTGGTAAGCGAATCACTTCGTGTCCTGACTCCAAATTTAACTGATCCAATTTGTATATTTTTTTGGTTGGTTCCGTTGCACCTGTAAATATAATGTTGTTTGTATATTCAACTAAATACTTAAAAGAAAACAAATGTATTGCAAAAATAATAAAATCTGAAATACCTTTTGTCCCCGTGTTGGCGGAGCCACTCCTGAATTTCACTCTTTTTGTTAGCTGTTATCGGTGCCCGATTTATTTGCTGGGAGTGGTAGGGTGCGTTTCCCATTATGATTACTGATGGTTCTTCAAGACTATGCAGCAGCTTTATAAACCAGTCTATGAAGCCTTCGGGATTCATTTCTGAATTGTAGTCCCCGCTCTGAGACTTTACAGCACGGAATACCCATCTATCTGGCTTTGGGTATAAAACCATATTTTGTGCAGCCTGCATGACAAACATAAAGAACATATTTAAATGAACATCATAAATTGTATTAAATTATTATTAAGTCGTATATCTTACATAAAAGATGAAAGAATATTTACCAATTAGTCTGCCCCCCCCCCTTTCCCGTTTTTGTGTATTAAGCCGCCTTGTCCATCCTTGTCTAGTCAAATTCGTTTGCGGCTGTGATTTTGGTTCACCCAACTCTCATCTAAATAAATTCTGGTCGAGTGTCTTCACTATCTCTCAGGGTCTTGAATTTTCTCAAGAATTTTAGCCACGCACAAATGATGTCAGTCCTTTCCATCAATTGTTTACGACCATCTGGAGCTTGTGTGTACTTGTACCCAAGTTCTATGTGCATTTTACGCATAAAAGAAATAGAACACTGGAATCCGTCAATTCTTTCTTTTTCTGTACTCAAAATTTTAGCAGTGGAAGGATATTGTTACGAGCTTAGGGTTCGTGACAATAAAAACTGCCGATTGAATTACCAAAATTTACACTTTTATTTCTGAACAGCAATTACAACTTAAAAGACACTAATAATTAATCACACTGATTCACTTTATTTCGCTCTGAAGCTTCGCTTACATCGCCAAATTCAATACTGCCCCGATCGCGGCTTGCAGCGGCTTTAAATACACCTTTTCCACCGAAACATTCAGAATATTCCAGCAAATACTGGCCCCCGAACGACCAGGTGCTGAAACTTCGAGTGTGGAGCTTTCCAGAAAGTTTAGTTCTTCAATTCAATACTAGATGGCGCTATTGGTTGAAAGATTAGTCATGGCATTTTCTGGAAAGCTCTCCTCGCTCTGTTACCCGACACTAGATGGCGCTAGTGCCAGGCATCAGACATCAACTTAGGCGCGCAACAATATTCACTGTCGCGATAAAACGATGACACTATTTGTTTAATTACACTTTTGTCGAAGTCGTCTAACGCAGTTACTGTACAAGGCAGATAGACGCTTTCTCGCGGAGAGCTAACTTCTCCCTTTATACACTCCTTTTTAATTTTGTTGACCACTCTAACACTCACACCACATATCGCCGCAGCAAGTTCACGACAATGGCAGAAATTAACACTTTGTAACTAGTTGGATGGCGGGTCTAAGGGTTCCTGAGTTCGATTCCCAGGTTGAGCCTTGACCCTATTGTGCGAGATGTTATACTAAGTGGACTGTATACGCGATAGCTTCTTATGCCTCAACAAGATAAAAGAAAAAGAAAAACAATTATTATTTAATTAGAACAGTTTTATAAAACAGAGTGCTATAAATAAAAATAAACCTACAACGGGAAAAATAGACCAAAATCTAGTAGCTACTGCCTATTTATATCTCAAAAGCATACCCATGTGCTGTATTTTAATAATCCTCCATTTACGACCTATACAGTTGTTCATAGGCGCTATTTTTCTTATTACTACTACTATTATATTTGGTTGTTTTTTTTTTGCCCGTGTCAGGTAATAAGAAACTATCTTATTACTTGACTCTCATACTCCTGTCCCCTATAATAAAATGTTTATAAACTTTTTCACAATATTATGTTAATGCCTCAAATTAGACGTAGCCAAAGTCGTTGTTTTACTATCACCGTGACAGGTGTTTCGATTACATAAATGTCATAGTGAAAATCACTGTGACTTTGTCTTAATCCGATTGGCTTTAGATATAAAAAAATCTGACAGGCAGAAATCCTTCTGGAACGCTACAAAATTTTTGAAGAGAGTAGCATTCTTACGACAAGTAAATAAAATTACAGATTGGGACAATATCACGAAACATGGTTGAATAAGGTTTCCCTTCGAGATATTTGACTTTATTTTTTAACTCTCATCACTACAAACGTCATTTTTGACTTTTGTAACGTTGGAACTACAGATCTGTCAGTGTCACTTGTTAGTCCTTTTAGTTCTTTACTTCCTAGTTTGATGCCTTATTATTAATAATAATGTATTTTTTGTTTACTTAAAAGCACACATGTGGCATTATTTATGTCCAAGCTAGTGTTATTTGATTTATATCATCGTGTGGAGTGAATACAATTAATGTTATAAGTCAAAATGTCTCGTAACAGAGGTGATGGGTTGCTTGCAAAGGTTGATTTTCCTCTCTATACGCTTCAAACCCTTACGAATCGACATGTCCTTGTAGCGGGAGGTGGCGGAGCATCTAACACAGGCGTGGCGAATGGATTTGTGAGTGTTAACTTTTACATTTATAAAAAAACATAAGCTGTTTTGACTATCACCATGATACGTGTCATTACATTACAGTACATTACTTTTCTTTTCCTTGCTAGGAGATATTTGAATTATCACACAATGGAACTAAATTTGTTGCTGAAGAGGTGATGCGACATGAAACTGGCCCAAATGTGGTGATGAACTGCTCTGTACGTAATGCTCAGGGCAGGACATATCTTTGCGCCGGGCAAGAGAGCCACTGTCAGTTGTATAGGGTAAATGTTCGTATGGTAGATGCTGCTGAAATGCGCCGTGGAAGCTTTCGAGCAGAGAATGGTTTGGTACGCCGTCGCAGACGCACAGTTTCTGAAAATGATAACATATCTAAAACAGAAAGTACTACTGTGGAAAAACGAATATCTTTTGAAATACGCCCTTGTGACAGTGTACAAACTGATTTTGGGTAAATATTCAAACATTTAAGTTACTTCAACATAACTTTTAATAATTCTGTTATTAATTTTTTAGTTATATAAGTGTTAGAATATCAGTGATTGATTTAATATAGATTAGATTCAAAATTAACTACTATGTAAAATCCACTAGTGGAAATAGGCCTTCCCTGTAGACTGCCTCATAGGGGGACATTTGCCATAGTTGCCATGCAGTTTTTTATAATTATCATGTTAATGTCAGGATAACTCTACTAACTATCAACTATTTCAGATTTCCTCTGTTTCCGCTTACCATATCTGCAGGATGACATGGGGTCGTGGATTCCTTTATGCCGCTGCTACACATAATTTTAATAATATATATTCTATTTGCATTAAACATGGTATTTAAAAGATTTTAAACAAAGTCACAAATCAGTATGTTTTGCTACAAGTTATATGTGGCATGCAAAAAATTTTTATACATTTATATTTGTGGCTACAAAATCCCTAATACTATAGAAATTACAATCATTTTACTACTGATACAATTTTAATTTAAATAATCTGCTATTTAATGTTTTTAAGTAATTAGGTATAATATTATATAAGCATACACACATAAATAAAATATTTATTATGTTCTCTTATTCTGTCATTATTGTTTAGTACATGTCTATATGGATCTCGGTGACTATGGGGATTTGTATAATCTACCATTGTAAACTATGTTTTGTGTTTAATAAAATATTTAATTTGTTTAACAAAAAATTGCTTTTAAATCAATATTTTACTTGTAAATAACTTTCCGGCATAACCTGTTTCTTAAATGTTTATTTCAGAGAAGACCCACTGCAAAGGGTAGTGAGGATCAGTCATAATGGTAAGCTAATGGCAACTGGTGGTATAGATGGCAAGGTTAGACTGTGGGGCTTTCCCAAAATGCAACTGCTACACCAATTAGAAGGACACACAAAAGAGGTTTGTGTTCCATTTTCATATTAAATAAACCAATAAAACTTTAGTGCATTGATTTTATCATGACCTTCAATCCTAATACATTAACTTAAGTATTGCCATAACTTCCTTTATTACTTGAGGATCAAAATATTTATAATTTACTTAGATCTTTAAAATTTTAAAATGATTGATTTTAATGATTGTGTAAACTACAATGACTAATGATAATAAATATTAAATACAGTGAATATAGTTAAAACAATGATTTATTTTTCTACATAGACTTCTAACAAGTCAATGCTACAAATGTTCATCTTTATCCTAAATCAGAATTCCCAGAAAAATAATGTTATCTTGATGCTCCAAAAAGCCTCAACAGTTCACTATCGTCTTCAAATCTGTTGCCTCGATGGTGTTCCTTGAGCCTAGGAAATAAATAAAAATCACTGGGAGCTAGATCTGGCGAATCACATTTCTTGAATGGCAGCCTTTTTTCCTAAATAAATATTGGCTCCCTTTGCCAAACATTCCACCACAACTATTCCTTCAGTGTCCAAAAAAACCTTAATATATAAAAAAAAACCTTTTCCGCCAACTTAACACTTTGAATTTCTTCGGCGTCGGCGAGGAGGCTCGTTTCCATACCATAGATTGTTGTTTGATTTCAGGATCAAAATGGTGTATCCAGGTCTCGTCCATGGTCACAAAATGTGACAAAATTTTTTCCTGATCTGCTTAAAATCGTTCGAAATTCACCCTAGAAATGTCGTTTCTTCTTTTCTTGTCGTTTTTCCCTTTTTTCTTATGCTTGTCGCTAAATATTTTCGGTATCCAAAGCGCAGAGACATTTTTCATATGCAATTTGTTAGCAAGGATTCTGTGAACACTGTAATATTAGATCCCTGTGACCTGTTTACGTCTTCGGTGGGTCTTTTGTTTTAAACAGAGGTACTTGATAACAGCTCTAATTTTTCTCCATTTTGATGTTATCTCTTTGATGATTCAAATAAATGTACCTCCGGGGGATGGTAGCCCATTTATATGATTTTTTTATGCTGATCTTGTGAGTACATAAGCAAAAAATCGGGTGGACTGTGCTCACTTATCACCCATATACCAAAAAAATAATATTATTACAGTCTGTAAGGAATTTTATCTTAGCCCACAGAGGTGACAAAGCATTTTTCTTTATTTGTAGAGGGGTGGTTAAAGGGGTTGACAATGAATCTGCATCTTAATAACTCTATATAAAATGTAAACACTAATATTTGCATGCTTCTTTAATGGCTGAATCAGGTAATCTTTTTATGATCCACAAATACACAAGCACAAAATAAAAAATTTGAAATCCAGCACATATTTTAACTATGGGCAAGATGAAATTAGATTGAATTGTTAAATCAAAAAGTAAAAGTATGAAAATTGACGATATATTTTAAAGCGAATTGTCTCCAACAAAATGGGATTGTGAATTGCATTTATAAGTGCTGAAACACCACATCAACATTCTAAAAAAAATGGCTTGTCTAAGACATTTGACATTACAAAGTTTGCTTTATAAGACATTTGACATTACAAAGTTTGCTTTATAAGCCCTCTCAGAAAGTCTGTGCCCATCAGTGAGACATACATGCAGACTATATGTCCTGACCTGACCTGACCATTACTTCCTTTGTGTTTGTGGTAGCAATTTTTTCCCAAGCGTTTTTTCCAAGCTTTACATTCTAAGGTAAAATAATCTCAAAATTAAGATGGCTCAGATTTTATTGCATAAATAATAAAGAATACTTTGTTGTAAATATAATTTGCCAAATAAAATCCTCGAAACTAAACACTAGAATAACCCGAACTTTTTTATTCCAGCTGGATGATCTGGACTTTAGTCCTTGTGACAGTCGGCTGGTGAGCATCGCTAAAGACGGTCTAGCGCTTGTGTGGGACACCTCAAGGTCACGTGAGCCCCTTTTGAAGATCACCTGTGAACCACCCAACGGTACTAAATATCTGTTTAGAAGGTGCAGGTAAGTTGGAGTTCCAAGTGTCCATGTTAAGCATCTATCACAATTCATCAGAATATTTTTCATGTATCTTCAGTAAAAATTTTAAAAGAATACTAAAAAAAGTGCTCGAAATAATAGATTTTCTCACAAAAGGAGGAAACTTGAAAAAAAAAGGGAAAAAAATCGGACGAAGACAGGACTCAAACCAGGGTACTATGATTTCGGGACCGCCCGCTATCTCATTTGAGCTATTATAATCATTAACACGTTGCCAAAATTTACCTTCTTATATTGTAGCTGTTTTTCATTGCCTGAAAACACGGACAAAAGGACATTTTCTAAAAATGAATCTAGCTAGATCGATTTATTGCCCCCGAAACCCCCTGGACACTAAATTTTATGAAAATCGTTGGAGCCGTTTCCGAGATTCCGATTATATATATACTAGCTTGCCAGGCAGACATTGTTCTGCCCTTTTCGACGACCCTTTGTCATGTCCTAAAAAAATTGTCCTAAAAAAATTTTGCAAAAAAAAATTGTGGGTCACTCATGGGCAAAAAAGCTAACCTATCTCTCAAATTGGACCAAACTGCACACGGAGTGCAAATTTGATTACAATCGGTGAAGTAGTTTAGGAGTCCATCGCGGACAAACAATGTGACACCTAATTTATATATATACAGGGGATGTTAGTGTAAACACCGTTATCCTTGAAACCAGTGATTTGATACCTTTAACTTTTTTTTACTTTAATTTAGTATTTTAGTTTTTTCAAATCTGTAGTTACATTTTAAACTCGAAGACAAATCAATTTTAAAATAGAATAATAAAAACAATAAATTTTTAGCTTGCAAATTTCTAGCAAATCTCAGAAACATCATTACGGTACAAGAGGTTAATTAAAAAAAAATTGAAGCGCACATCAGACTTACATCAAACAGTGTAAAAGCACACTGGTTGTATGTTTGACATTTAATTGGATTGTACTTACATAAGTTTGTAGAGAATAAATAAATTTCAACGACAAAAACAACAAAAGACAAAAACAAATTGGTTTGGTTTCACTTATATATATATATATATATATATATATATATATATATATATATATATACATACATACATACATACATAAACACTCGCGCCCGTCACCCAGAGGGGTAGGCAGAGACTACAGACTTCCATTTGGCATGATCCTGACACACCTCTCGCAATTCACTTCTGCAACATAAATTTTCTTTGAAAAAAATGCAAGTCTTATGCATTAGGTATAATAACTTCTAAATTTTTTTAAAAATATTTATAGTAAAATCGTCTCAAATAAATAAGTAATTAATGTTTAATATGAAGTAACATAAAACACAGGCACACATTTAGCATGTCGATGGTAGAAGATAAGGATTTAATAACAATTAATATGTTGTAATTAATTCAATTTTCTTTGAACATTGTTGCTCAATGCTTGTTGCAAGTTAAAATTGACATATTTTTTTTAAATTTATGATAGCTCAAGCTACATACATACTTATAAAACTCATTCTAATTGGTTAAGCTGAGACCGTAGAGATTAGCATGCACAAACGCACAGGCAAATCTATATTTAAGATATCTGTGTCTCGTGCATATTTTACAATATCTCTCTATGAAATTCAATGAACTATGCAGCACACCCAGCGCAGATAATTTATATTTTATCGGTTAGTAAGTGTAGGCACCGACACAGGGGTATGAAAATTCTCAGTATCTTGCTATTCTGTTGATACCAGTGCCATCTCACAGTGGGTAAAAGCACTATTTCCCCCACTAATTTTACACTTTTTATTCAAAAGATGGCGTCTCTACCGGGATTTATTATTTATACTGTAGCAGCCAGATTAATCAAACCGAAACGGGAATAAATAATATATACTCCGCTGCTACCATAACGCGGAAGGCGAGAATAAATAAAAAAAACATTTTATTTCCTAATTATTCTTGGCTACTGAGATACTGCGGACTGTATATAGATAATTTGACGTTCTTATAAAGAAACAAGAAGCAGCCGCAAATATCATTCAGCGCCACACCGACTTCACACGCCGCTATCGTCACGTATCCGTCGACCAATGGTGAGCCGTTTCTTCAACGCCGCAGTTCGTTTCCTCTTGCTGTTCCGGAGCTGTATTCCACACCGCCGCCGCCCGCCGACTACGCGTGCGCACCGATCTGCATGTCTTATATAGCCCGGTCCAGCGACGTAGCTTCGTGAACAACAAACAAGTCTCACGCCGGGAAACGAAACGTAGATAATTGTATATTTTAAATAGTTTTCATTGGTCATAAAATAAGCAATATAATTGGCTAGTCAAAATATTAATTGTTACCATTGGCAAATCAATAGTGAGCCAGCCATATAAATATAGGCAAGGTTGATGCAAAATATATTCCATTCCGAATCCCATTCGACAGTACATTCATAAACATAAACAGTAGTTTCATTTCTCCACCTTAAAGAAAACCACTCGGAGTCTGTTAATAGTGGACAGTTCGTCTCCACTATTACAGTGGTGACCCCGTACGAACACCGAGGGGGGAAGATCCGGTACGAACACCAAGAAGGAACACCCTGCGACGTACCACTACTATTGCACGAACACCGCGAAGGAAACCCGTACGAACACCGAGAAGGAAGACTTCAGTTTATATAAAATCAGTGTAATCAAGCCGTCATTATGGAGCAGGAGGCAAACACATATACATCAAACCCGGTAAAGGAACCAGAAATCGCCGGTATATCTCTATCGTTAAGAATACCACCGTTTTGGAGAGACAAACCACGACTTTGGTTCGTCAGTTTTGAAGCCGCAACGAATGGTTTAAAGAAGAGCCAAGCGCAATTAGCACAGATGGTGATAGCCCAACTTGAGAAACAAGACATCGAACAAATTGCGGACCTGTTGTACAACCCACCAGCAGTCGACCAGTATAATTCACTGAAGGATCGTCTGATCTCCGCATATGAAGAATCCGACAGTCGACAGCTACAAAAACTTCTATCAGAAATAGAACTTGGAGACCAGAAACCCACACAACTCCTACGCAAAATGCGTACTTTGGCGCGAGATAAAGTTCCGGATTCAACACTACGGCTAATGTGGGTAAACCACCTACCACCACATATTCGATCGGTAATAGCAGTCAGCGAAACATTCAGCACGCAGACGAAGCTCGACGAACTGGCACTCCTGGCGGACAAGATGATCGAAAACAGCAGTAGCTCACACATATCGATCATCGAAGGCACTTCAACAAAGGCCAATGATACCCAGTTTCTTCTCGAAGAAATTCGGAAGCTATCATTCGAAGTCGCCGCGCTCAAAGCTTCCCAGCATCATACCTTTTACCAGCAACAGTACAACCAGCGCAATCAGCAACACCGAAGATCACCTTTTCGTCGCAACCGCTCTGCAAGTAGAAGTCGAATAAGCTCAACATCAAGATCCCCTTACTGCTACTATCATCGACGTTTCGGGGTCGAGGCAAGAAAATGCACAGCACCGTGTACATTCAAAAATGAAAATACGAATACGGAAAACTAACTAGTACGCTCGATGCGACGGGATCCAGCGTAACAGCAAAGTCCTACCGTCTTTTCGTCACCGATAAAAAAAGCAAGCTCACTTTCCTTATCGACACCGGAGCAAATATCTCAGTGTTACCGCCGAAGCAAGGACAGAAGTTGAAGCCACTAGATTTTCAACTCTATGCAGCAAACAATACGGTTATTCCTACATATGGAGAAAAAACAATGGAACTTGATTTTAATCTACGCCGACCATTCAAATGGAGATTTATCGTCGCTAAAGTCAGCAAACCAATCATCGGTGCTGATTTTCTTCAACATCACCAGTTGGTCGTCGACATCAAAAATAGAAGAATCATCGACGGGAAAACCAATCTTGCATCTCAGTCTTTTGTACAAGCAACCAATCTGCCCACAATAAGAAGCATAGATGTGCAACAACCGTATCACAAGATCCTCGAAGAATACCCTGGTATCACAAGAATAACTTCAATGAAATTAACACCGAAGAACGACGTTGAGCATTTCATCGACACCAATGGACCACCACTTCATTGTCGTGCACGTCCAATCGCACCACACCTATACGAGCAAGTTCGAAAGGAATTCGAAAACATGATTGAGCAAGGAATATGCCGTCCAAGCAAAAGCCCTTGGTCATCACCACTTCACATTGTACCGAAGAAGAACGGAGAATTACGAGTTTGTGGAGATTACAGAAGACTGAATTCTATTACCACTCCTGACCGCTACCCAATACCGCGAGTCAGGGATTTCACGCATCAACTATCAGACAAGACTATATTCTCCACCATCGATCTCAACCGAGCTTACCAACAAATAAGAGTCCGCGATGAAGACATAGAGAAGACAGCAATAATTACCCCAATGGGATTATTCGAATTCCCAAGAATGATCCCAGGATTAAAGAACGGAGGTCAAACTTTCCAAAGATTCATACACGAAGTACTTCATGGACTGGATTTCGTTTTCGCATTTATTGATGATCTCCTTGTTGCAAGCCCTGATAAAGAAACGCACGAAACCCATCTACGCACCGTGCTACAGCGATTAGAAGACAACGGAATCACAATCAACCCTTCGAAATGCATATTTGGACAGCAAGAAGTTCAATTTCTTGGTTTCACCGTCAGCAAGGAAGGAATAAAACCGCCTGCCGAAAAAGTCAGAGCAATCATCGATTATGCAAAACCTAAAACTATCGAAGAGCTAAGGCGTTTTCTTGGGATGATAAATTTTTACAGAGAACACATACCTAAAGCCGCTGAAATCCAAGCACCACTTCACGCCTACCTTCACAACACGAAGAAAAAAGATAAAACGTCAATCGAATGGAACGATGAAGCCACGAAGGCATTTGAAGCTTGTAAAATTGCGATCCAAAATGCAGCTTTACTCGCTCACCCATCACACGAAGCAACCCTTGCTATCTTCAGCGACGCATCCGATCTCTCAGCAGGAGCAGTTCTCCAACAATACAGCAATGGGAAATGGCAACCACTTGGATATTTTTCGAAGAAGTTCTCCGATACTCAACGTAACTACAGTACATTCGACCGAGAGCTACTCGCTATTTACATGGCTATCAAGCACTTCAGAAAAACGTTCGAGGGTCGAAACCTGATCGTTTTTACCGACCACAAACCATTAACATATGTACTTCCAAAGAAACCATCACTATCGGAAACACCACGAAGAGCAAGACAACTTATTTTCATAAGTGAATTCACGACCGACATACGTCACATCAGTGGAAAGGACAACATAGTTGCCGACGCACTCAGTCGCGTACCAATCGACAGTGTAGCGTGCCCTACATCAATCGACTATCATAAGATCGCCGCAGCACAAGACAGAGATAGTGACAACATAAAACATCTATCGAAGCAAGGTAACTTGTCCATCAAGCAAGTTACAATGCCAATGACGCATCTACCTATATACTGTGAAGCCTCAACGACAACCATGCGACCATACATACCAGAAGAATGTCGTCGCGAAGTCTTCAATGCACTGCACAACATTAGTCATCCAGGTGTTAGAACAACAAGAAAACTCATCACTGAAAAATTCTTTTGGCCTGCAATGCAAGCGGATGTTGGCAACTGGGCGAAGCAATGCATTCAATGCCAAAAATGCAAAGTACAAAGGCATACATCAAGTAGTCTAGCTACATTTCCACCCACGGAGAGATTCGAACACTTGCACGTTGACATCGTTGGACCATTACCTACTTCACCGCAAGGACATCGTTATCTCGTAACAATGATCGACAGAACATCAAGATGGCCAGAAGCAATACCTACCGATGATACTTCAGCCGAATCCGTCGCGAAGATAATTTATGAAAATTGGATTACTCGTTTCGGATCACCTAAAACCATCACAACGGATCAAGGAAGGAATTTCGAAAGCAACCTATTCCTCAAACTTCTTCAAACTATGGGAATACAGAAGACGCGTACAACAGCATACCATCCTCAGTCAAACGGAATAATCGAACGATGGCATCGTACATTAAAGACTGCACTCAAAACTCGTTTATCTCAACATACAAAGTGGATTGATGAGCTACCTACAGTGCTACTCGGACTACGAGCAACACCGCGTGCAGACACTAGTCTTAGCGCCGCTCAGCTAACCTACGGCTGCAGCATAAGGCTGCCGTGTGACTTCTTCAGTTCAGCAGCGTCAAACAAACAAGAAATGGATTACGATTTCGTAACTAAACTTCGAGAATCAATTAACAAAGCCTTATCGTTGAAATGCACCGAAATGCAATCACACAGAAATAATAAATCAGTATTCATTCACCAAGATTTGAAAACATGCAAACAAGTTTTTGTAAGAAACGACGCAATGAAAAAACAATTTCAACCTACCTACGATGGACCGTATAAAGTATTAGAGAGAAATAGCAAGACTTTTAAACTACAAATACCCGGAAGGAAATCTACGATTATATCGATCGACCGACTAAAGCCTGCCTATATTATTAACGAGGATACTGCAGAGGATTCATCATCATCATCAAAACCACCAGCGAGGAAGCTTGAAACTTCATCATCTACATCAACCCAGTTGAAACCTATTTTAAAAACTACGAAATACGGGCGAGTCGTCAAGCCTCCGGTACGCTTTCGCTGGGGGGGAGAGTGATGTAGCAGCCAGATTAATCAAACCGAAACGGGAATAAATAATATATACTCCGCTGCTACCATAACGCGGAAGGCGAGAATAAATAAAAAAAACATTTTATTTCCTAATTATTCTTGGCTACTGAGATACTGCGGACTGTATATAGATAATTTGACGTTCTTATAAAGAAACAAGAAGCAGCCGCAAATATCATTCAGCGCCACACCGACTTCACACGCCGCTATCGTCACGTATCCGTCGACCAATGGTGAGCCGTTTCTTCAACGCCGCAGTTCGTTTCCTCTTGCTGTTCCGGAGCTGTATTCCACACCGCCGCCGCCCGCCGACTACGCGTGCGCACCGATCTGCATGTCTTATATAGCCCGGTCCAGCGACGTAGCTTCGTGAACAACAAACAAGTCTCACGCCGGGAAACGAAACGTAGATAATTGTATATTTTAAATAGTTTTCATTGGTCATAAAATAAGCAATATAATTGGCTAGGCAAAATATTAATTGTTACCATTGGCAAATCAATAGTGAGCCAGCCATATAAATATAGGCAAGGTTGATGCAAAATATATTCCATTCCGAATCCCATTCGACAGTACATTCATAAACATAAACAGTAGTTTCATTTCTCCACCTTAAAGAAAACCACTCGGAGTCTGTTAATAGTGGACAGTTCGTCTCCACTATTACATTATACCAAAGCCTAAATCACTCTATCAACGTTTTCAAATACTGAAGTATATACAGGGTTATTTTGCAATAAAATAAAAAATAAAAAATACGAGTAAGTAATATAGGCAAATGGTGAGAAAAATTAATTAAAAAAATCTCAAACATTCTGCCCTTTTTATCTTTTAAGTTATGAATGCCTTGTAATTGTAGTGCATTATTTTAACTGCCGATGCGTACGCACATATTCGTAAGGGTCGATCGGTAACCAAAAACGTTGTTGCCTATAAATCACATTCAATTTGAGATAATTTCAAATAAAAAAGAAGCCTTATTACTCGTATTTTTAAAAACTACAATAACGGTATATCATTATTTATATATTTGAAGTTGAACTTAAGTTTAATTTAAAATTTGGCTACTCTTTGAAAAAGAACCCAGTTTATAAAATAGCTCTAAATTATCAAACGTACAAATATTTCGATAGTGGTTCAAACCGAGGTTCGAACCTCCTTCTGAGAGGCCCTTGAATCACATCGAGCCCCCCTAGGTGGTTGCACTCGCTAGCTCGTAGGTCCTCGCTTACTCTTTTTGATGAAGCTGTAAAGGACGCAGGGCCAACAGCATACACTTTAAAAAAATATCAAACGAAGTATTATAAACCGCGATCATTATAATGGAGTACATATGAACAATAAAATAAAACGACATAGTCTTTATTTAAAATAATTTAGTTTCAATCTAAAACATATTTCTTTAATTTTATTTATTAAATGTATGAAATAATAGATACTGAAACTAGTTGATAACGCCCTCTAGTATATTTTTCGGTAATCCCAACGCTGTCTTTGGCAGAGTACAAGAAACTTACCTCGTTTCGTCATCTAATAATTTATCAGACTAGCTCATCCTCATCTATGCCGTATATAGTATATTATCTATGCACCGATATATATCAAAAGATGGTTACAATATTATCTGCTCATACAAATATTTCTTTTTTCTTTTTTTTTTAAAAACGTTACCCCTACACTAGGATTTTCTCCTGTATCGTGGTTAGGTTAGGTTAGTTTACAAACATAAATTGCACAAGGACAAACATCCAGACCCGGAACAATTATTTGTAATTACAAATGCCATACAAATACTTGTTCCGTGCGGGATTCGAACCCGCGACCCCCAGCGCAGCCATTGCTACGTCACTGCAGCACGGAGCCGTCAATACAAACATGGCATAGGATTTTACCTACAGATAAATACAGGTTGGTCACTGAAAAATGCAATTAAATTCGCCTCTGTCCTTTTTAAGCTTTATATTATGACGTTAATCCAAATTCTTCGACTTTTAGTAAATGCTAAGGCAACACGTGCATCAAAATCAATATCTGAATCCTATTCTGACGAGCTGTCTAGCAAATCTAGAAGCAACTACAAATATATATAAAGTATAAACAATTTGCTCCAAAAACATGTTTAGTAAGTTTAAAGGATTTCGAGTGAATGTAATATTTCGTATCCAATACCTTTAAACGAGCAATTCTTGTATATATGTAATCGGAATCTCCGGCTCCAACGATTTTTATGAAATTTAGTATGCAGGGGGTTTCGAAGGCAATAAATCGAACTGGCTAGAACTAATTTTTAGAAAATTTCGTTTTATCCATGTTTTTAGGCAATAAAAAACAGCTACATTATCATTAGTATACGTTAGTAAATTTTGCTGGTGCCTAAAAGGTTATTACAGCTTAAATGGAATATCGAGCGGTGCTGAAATCATAGAACGCCAGTTCGAGTCCAAATGTCTCCGGTGTGACTCTTTTTTTCCTTTTTTTCAAGTTTCTTCTTTTGTGAGAAAATATATTATTTTGAGCCTTGAAAAATTTTATTCATATTTCATCAGTATGTAATATGTATCTAAATATAATTTACAAAAAACACGATTTCCAAAAAAAATACCATCCAGGTACTATTACCGTATCTGCGTAGTGTGTGATACTTTCATATAATTAAGTTTTTTATGCACATAAAATATTATCGTATTTGCATAGTCTGTGACTCGCTTGAATTTTATTATATCTAGAGATATCCGACGTTGTGTGTGCTTGATGTACGCATAGTCACGGGATTCGCATAAATAAGTTTCATTAAAATAGTATGTTATTTCTATTGCCAATTTGCTGTTTTTTAAAATGTTACTTTTACACTAGGATTTTCTCCTGTATCGTGGAGGCAATTACATACATAAATTGAGTAGGGACAAACATCCAGACGCGTAACAATTATTTGTAGGCCATTCAAATACTTGCTACGTACGGGATTCGAACCCGCGGGCTTTAGTGCCGTAACTCATTGCCACGCCACTGCGCCACGGAGCCGTCTAATTCAATAATTACATTTCTACATTCAGATTCGGTGCGAACGAAGAACGTCCTAAGGAGCCGCGTATGTTTACTATCGCGAACCCAGTGTCGCGGTCAGGACGGGCGCGGGGGCTGCTGCAGATGTGGACGGGGGTGTGCGCGGGGGAGGAGGACGGCGCGGGGGGCGTGCGGAGTGCTGCGGCGCTCGGTACTGCTGCCCGAGGCGCTGTCGGCGCTGGCCGTCCGTGAGGACGGACGCTTCGTTGGCGTCGGCACAATGTTCAGCGGCTCCGTCGAAGTATACATCGCGTTCAGCTTGCAGGTCAGCTACTGTTGATTTCTGTCATTTTCTCTTCATTTGGATTTTACGAGGAAAAGAATTTTGTCGTTCTCATCCCCTTATCAGCGATTCAACAGTCCATGGACGACAACGACATTAAATATGGTTCTCTAATTATAGAGCTTTGTGAGCTTTTGTCTGTGATCTGCTGGATTTACGTGTCGAACCTTTGATTCTACTTCTATCAATAATAATCACTGGTTCAGGTATGTGGTGTGTGAACAGAACCTAAGACTCCTGTTAACACCATATGCTTGCGCAAGCTTTCATACACTATAATCATACAACATATAACGTAGTTGTATTTTCATTTACGACAGTTACTGTTTTAATTCAAATACGAAACGTTACTTATCTCAAATAAGGTTCAAATCATGTTGACAAAGCGCGCAATTAAATAATAACAGCGTTTTCTTGGTCACATTAAACAAAATCAGTGTTACTTCGACAACAACTTCGATTTTTACAAAAGAATATAATAATTTTTTTAATCAATATAGATTACATGTAATTAATTCTAATTGAGTCATTTTTTACTTTTACCTCTGGTTCGGGAAAAAAACCTGGGAAGAACCGGTAGAAAACCCAGCGGGACTTTTTTTCATTTTTTCAAAATGAATTATACAATAAGAAAGGTAAAAACTATTTAATAGTTATATTTATGAAACAGCCTGTAAATAACTATTTTATTCCCAGGGGTTATCAACCATGTTAAAAATGAGGATTAGTAAACTGTAGTGACAATGGGCCGGCCATATAGCTCGAAGAACCGACAACCGATGGGGAATAAAGTTCTCCAGTGGCTCAGCCTCGTACCGGTAGGCGAAGTGTAGGGCGACCCCCCCACTAGATGGAGTGATGACCTGGACATGCAGAAATTCGATGAATGCTCTTGGCTCAGGACCGTGCTTTGTGGCATACCTTGGGAGAGGCCTATGTTCAGCAGTGGACTTGTGAAGGACTGTAATGATGTAAAAACTAAGAACTAGTCCTTTCGCCTGCTCACAGGCGACTAAAGGCGTTATATTGGGCGTAAGTTAGTGCGTGGTATTGTGGCGCCACATCACCCCCCCCCCGCTCAGACCGGAGGTCGATAGTGCAGTCTTGTTGTCGACGAATGTGCAAGTGCCATAAGATTGCCTTGTAGTCTGCGGTGAGTCGAGAAGAAGGCAAGTAATCTGCGAGAGTGCCGTGAAGAACAGGCGAGCAATAAGGCTCAGAGCCGTGCTGAACACTGTATAGCGCAGAAAGTAGCTTAAAGGAACAGGAAGCATTATTATTCCAGTGCTGTGATGAACCTTGTGAAGCTAGATGGCTTGCAGGATATCAAGACTGCAGACGATATCTGCTCGGGAGCGATTGGGTGGGGTATTCTATGACGATGATGAAGATTGAAGTTTCCGAAGGTTGTTGGTTGCGTGTTCAGATCACGTCGGGTGGTCACCACTGTGGCCGAGGAACGAAAAGGGGAGATCTCCCGCCGGGCAAGGTGTTCTGCCCTGGGAGCGTCCAACACTCCGTGTGATAGTTCGGAGATGTTCTATATATACTGTTAATGATTCGGAATTTTGATAGCGTGATTTAGGCTTCGGCGTGTTTCGCTTGTGGCGTGACGACAGCGCCGCCACAGTATTAGTATCGTGGTGTCTGTGTTGTAATATACCCAGAAATCTTTGGCACAAGCGTGTAACGCAGTGGTTTGTGGTGCAGCGAGTGCTGCAGGTGCGCAGCGCTCACGGCATGTTCGTGACGGGGCTGGAGTTCCTGCCCACGCAGCTCGCCAGCCGCAGCGACGCCGCCTTGCTCTCCATCTCCGTCGACAACTGCCTCTACGTGCACAGCGTGCCCTCTCCAAGTAAGTACTTTTTAGTCCACCTCAAGTAAGAGATTTATTGACGTGAAAGTGAATACATGTTTAACTTTGCTTAGTGGAGGTCAATTCAGAAAACTGATGATAATAAAATCGGGAGATACAGTTTGTTGTTGCAGCTACATATCATCATCATCTGCGTTTAATTACATCACTCGGTAGCTAAAGGATCAAAGAATTGGTTACGTTGAGGGCTGTGACGCACCGCGCGTTGCAGAGGGGGGAGCGCCGTATTTTGAGGTCGTTTTGTTACGCACACGTATTCACGTGAAACATACGGCCGTGTCCGTTAAAATTAGGTAAAAAAGTACTATAAAACATGCTCGCGCCAACCGCACGTATTGTTTATCAGGCTCATTGAAATGCGCGGTCGGCCCGCCACCTGCCCGCAGTACCTTCACTGTTGCTCTGTACAAGTACATTCGTTTCCCAACTCTAAGGTATTTATAGCAACATATGGCGGTGTGAGATATCCATTAGGTAGCCCCATATCGTGCCGTGGGTGTCGTAGGAGGCGACGTAGTTAAATTGAAACGTGATGGGCAGCTACATCTTCATGATAATAACTCAGATAATAAAAAAACAGCGGTACAAACCCGCCAGCGGGTTATTCGATGTCGATTAAACACAATTTTCGGAGATTTTCAGAATTGATGTCTCAGATTTTCATGATTTTTTTATGCAGAAATATATCATAGACATGAAAAAATACGAAAATTCAGTTATGTAGCACAATTACTTTTGATGTTATTAATTTTTAAAGATTTTTATGAAAAATTTTCATATTTTGGTACTTTTGGATGCCTATACTGACAACCAATGACGATATAAACCTGGGAGTGGTCTAATTTTAAAGCTATTGGATGGGGCTTTAATATGATATAACACAAGATAGCGTTACAATTTTAAAAAAAAATTTTTAAATTTAAAAGTGGCAATTTTAAACATTTAAAAAAATTATCAAATATAGTTTATAATGTCTTAATACATATAGCAAAATTCTATCATGGGATCTCAATGGGATCAAGAGATACAGGGCTTCAGAAATACACATTTTTTGTGAATAATGTACCAAATTAGCAAAATTTTATTTTTTAATTACAAATTTTGAGCTATACATTGTGCAGGGTGGACAATATTAAATTAATAAAACGCAATGATTACTTTATAGTACCATGTTTAGAAACCTCTCTTTAAAAGAACACTCAAGCTGATTGGTCTCCAAGTAGCGGGAAATCCCTTTTTACTCAGATAAAAAGGGGATTTCCCCCAGGGAAAATCCCCTTTCACAAGGCGGAAGCGGACACTGTGGATTCTTTCTGCAGATGTAATATGCAAGATTGTGCCAAATGGAAGTCTGTAGTCTCTGCCTACCCCTCTGGGTGACAGGCGTGAGTGTTTATGTATGTAATATGCAAAGTGAACCCCGTCACACAGACTGGTCGAACATACAGTGTACCAGACGAGGATTGAAGTCTTGCATTGATTCTTTGTAATCGGCTTTTACTTCAAATTCGAAGTTATTTTTTTTTACTTTAATTATATATACGTCGACGTAAATTAGAAAGTTATGACGCCATCTATCGGAAACCATAATATTTTTCTAACATTTGCTATAGTCGCCTCTTACGACACCCAAAGAACTAAAAGGAACTTATGGAAATGGACTAGACGCATATGGAAGCAATTTTGAAGCATTTTTAATAAATGAATGCCTTTTCTTTTTGCGAGCACTATGCAGGTCTAATAACACCAGTATCACTGCTACCAGTTAGATGTATTGTGATCACTACTATGCATGTAGTTCACTGCCAAGTCTTATATCTTCAAAAACCCTGAGTCAGATAAAGCTGTAAGAGCCGTGTGGGCTAACAGCACCACCACCATTACAGAAAATAGATTACCTTCAATGACTTGAAGTAGTTGCGAGCTATTTTACTTCTTCTGGGCTAAGTACATAGTTTCCCAGATGAGTGTTACGTTTGCGTATTAAGGGTCCGCAATCAGTTAGGATGTGCAGAGGTATTTCTTCCGTTAAGGAACAGAATCAAGACATCCGTGAATTACTTAGTCCCAACATGGATATATATCCATATTGTATTACTATTAGATATTTTAAACAGAAATGTCCTGTCAGGGCTCTTGCCACAATACGCAGTTTATTTTTACTTAATCCCAGGGCTTCTGAATCGAATTTACGATCATAAGCACGGATTAAAATTTTGGAATGTTTTAAGCCTGGTGTATCAGACCAGATCTTAAGTGATTTATTTTGATAGAGTTTCAAAGGTCAATCGCGCCAGGATTTATGACATTCCACAAAAAGGTTCGGGTTCAAATTGTGTACTCTGACCCCTCCCGTGCGAGCTTGTCGACTTGTTCCTTGAACGTTTTGATTCAAAATCTAAAATAAATATAAAAATATGTGTCCGTTTCTATTCTTGAGCCTCGGTATTAAATTATAATATTGTACGGAAGACGATTGCCTGAAGTAATTCTTTTTATTTATGGTTATTATTATTTCTTATATTTATTATTATGTTTATTTCAATCGTGAAATGGAATTTTATTCAGATAAAACTTTGAATAAAACTATATTTACGGATTTTATAGCGTTCAATTAACTATTTTAACTTATTTTTAAATTCCCGACGTTTCAGGTGCTTTACAGCACCCATGGTCACGGGGTGGACTGAGATGTTTGACGTCCCAATGTCATAGTTAGCCCGGCTACCTTCAGTTTTTTTAATATTAATTTTCGGTTCGATCTACGCATATCATCATATCATAGATAAAACTTTACATTGTTAAAGCCACGGTGTACCTATATTTAGCTGCGGCATGAATTGGTTGGCTCGATCGGTGTAGGACCATTCTCTCACAGTGTACCAGCGTGAAATAGCAGAATAATTCTGAGAAATTATGAGATCGTATGATAAGTGTAGCGAACTGGAGACTGGCATTCCGGCTTAGTTCCATTTTTATTCTTAATCGAGGAAATATGTAGATGTCTATGGGTCAGAGCATCCACTTACCGTCCGGTGGAATGTTTGCTCGTTTGGCACCCTTATTCTAGTTTAAAAAAAGATTTTTTATTTAAATGTTATCAATATAAAAAGTGATTTTATTCTGGTAATATATGTTATTGAATGTTAAACATTCACGTAATCATTTTAATTTCAGGTACTGTACCTGCCTGGGTTGCCATCATTCTTATAGTTTTCGTTTTATTTTGTACTTTTACTTTATGTTCATATTTAGGTATATAATGGAAATTTTATTTAATTTTAATCAATATTATTTTCTTTAAAATTATTATGATTATATGTAATTAGAAGAAATTATTTTTCTGTGTAAGTATATTTGTATACTTTGGGGATAGTTTAGTTTAATTATAAAGGGTAAGCAAGTTCATACATTATACTACTACTGTATGTTTGTATAAATAGAATCATTTTAATTAAAGGATATACGGCGTTGAGTTATTTTTGATTTAATTTCCGATCCATTTATAATTTAGTTTTCAAAAGAATTTATTATTGTTTATAATTTTCGCAAATGTCTAAAAGGGTCTATAAGGTAACTGTTGATTTACGCACTGTGATCTGTATGCATTGTTACATGATAAAGTATTGATAAAAATGATTGAAACTGTATTATGAATTAAATATTTATGGCAAAAAGTATGCTTTTTATTTCAAATTTTCCTATTTATTAGTATATATAAGTTACATCAAAAATATTGGTAATCAAAACTGCAGAAAATGATGAGAAATTATATTAATATTGCGTACTAAAGCTCCTGATAATAACTCGCTAAACGGCGAAGCATGTTGTGCCCCTACTATCGGTAGTTGTGTTTTTCCTAGTGTAGGGGTCGGTGATGAGGGGGATAGTGCATGGTGATGGTGCACGTGATTATAGGTAATACGCACCATTTTATTTGTTTCATGTGGATCTTATGTTATTAATTTAGTACGTTCTTACGCCAATAAATTACCTGTTTCTTTAAGATATTATGAAGGCGTTAAGACGGCAAACGCATATTAGGGTGGCTCTGGTTGCAGACTTGTGCCTAGCTGTGGGGACAAAACATATAATTATTTATTAAATGACCCGTTATCTTATACTTCCACCACACCCAGTGTCTCTAGAGGGCAGTCAGGTCTTGCTGCAAAATAAAGCACGTCTTCTTGAAAGAAGGCTCTTAGCAAACCCTTGATGTGTAGCGGGAAGAGTGCTACATTTAGAACAGACTCCTAAGGATAAACCATAACAAAAAAACGTGCTAATACTACCAGACCTTGTAACATCAAGCTAACCTGCCAATGCTACACCATTGTTGTCGTGGGTCTCATCCGTGAAAATCAAAAGACACTCTTAAATGGCATTAGACAATGATTTTGTGATGTCTTTTTTTATGAATTGAACTGTCGGATATAACTACCTTTCAAGAATGCGACAAACGACGCATTAATCGAAAGTTTGGCCTATACTTAGCACACTTAGCAGGGATAGTACTGCTTCTGTGATTTACTCATCTGTGAGAATTTAGCTGGTTTTTCGTCCAAGGCATCGTTGACAAGTTATCAGAGGTAAAGCGTGCCGGTTTGGGTATTCACAGAACAAATTAATTTATTGCTCTCTCCCTGACGTGGGAATGAACCGTTAGAAGATAAAAAAATATGACTCGTGATTGTGGAAATAATAAACAGTTTATTTTTAATAACATTTAATTAATTACATTAAAACAAATAACATACAATTACTCATCGTGACCCTTCGGCAAGTTGCATTGAAATAGACCGACTAGAGACCTATGATACGACGAACTGCGACTGCACACAGATTCTTACATTCCGTTTAAAGCTCTACTACTTCGTTATAAAAGTCAAAATAGCTTACTGAATCAGTCGCGAGTAGGCCACATTAACGTAAAATACATAGGAATATTAGCTACAGTTTAGAAATAGAGAAGGCCTTTCAAACGTGATGACTAAATGATATTAAACTTAAAATATAAGACGCAAGATTCAGTTTTACTTAAATCCACGCTGTAACGCCTCTCCATTTCGTGTCGTCATCAAATGCATTTCATTTTGTGCCTCTTATATAAAACATTTAAAAAATAAAAATATGGAAGACCGACTAAGCATAGGCTTTATACTTACAATGTGATTTGATTCGTACAGTTTATATAAATAAAAAATATTTTCAGTTTATAACGAGTTTAATATAAACATAACGTGTCCTGAAAGCAGTCGACAATTTACTTCGATGAAACATTGTTTTGATTACAAAAATAATTATTAAATAACCGTCTTTTTTCCTGTTCCTTTACCCAAAAATGTTTATAGCAAACTGAGCCCATTACTAAATCGATTCAATTTTCTACCAAAATGTGAAGCTATATTATGATATCTAATTCCACGTAGCATATTCAAAGCTTCATTTAGACACCAATTTGGTAAATTTCTTAAAGTTTAATGTCGTATTTATAACATATCTTTGGAACGATTGCAACAATGTTGTTAGAAAGTTCATCGATCTATATCAGGCTCAATACATAAAGCTACTCCTGTTCTAACTAACAACGTAGAAAACATTGATTTAAATAGTTGTGATGACGCTAAACTATTCTAAGTTTAGTTTTATCTCAATCACCGTGATAAAAATATTTTAACGTTTAAATACTAACTGGAACTGTAAAATCCGTTCCGGCGTTACTACTTATGTATACACCGGTATATATAAATATATACTCCAGAAGTTGTAAATAATGTTTCCGAATTTGTAAATATATATAAAATGATGTGGTTTTTAGGTTTCTATGGTTACTTTAAGCATATAAATATATCTCGATATAAAATTATTTAAATCTATACACATGCATATGTATATTCTAGCTAAAATTGTTTACCTGTCATATCATTGAAGGCTGTCATACTATTCTTGATTTTGTATAATAATACAATATTGTATGACATTGTAAAGTTATATAATATATACTGTTAGATAATATGGTCCCTGTACACAGTATATGTTCCCCCCTGAGGGGCTTGTATGTATTATGTCGGTAGAAGGCACGCGGTCGCTTGCGTCGGTCTATCGCTGCGATGAGATCGCCATGTTGCACGGATATTAACGCGCTATACAGACTATAAAACGGCAGCATTGCCTCTATTATATCCTTCAATGTTAAATTAGATCTCTTTAATAATTAACTTTGCTTGGGTGTTTAATCTTTATTACAGTTAGCAATAATAACATTACAACTAGTGTACTATGTACGTTTTCATGATATTGTAGGAATATAATTTTGCTTGGTAAGATAATGTAGACGGTTAGGCGTTAACTTGTCCAAAATATTTTTTCGCTTTAAGCGTTTCAGAAGGTTGTAATTACTAGACAGAACTAGATTAGACTCACGTTTCACCACGTACGTCGGTTTGAAAGCGTAGGAACTGATATAAAATAAACCCGATTGTGTAATACTACACGATGGCCATGTCGTTGCGGGTGAAATGTCGATGACATACATAACTCACACGACATAGAAATAGTAATAGATATAATTCGGCTTTCCCATTTCAAAACCTGGCTATAACTAAGTTTGACAGAAGAGCAACGAAACATAAATCGAGGTAGTGTTTGAAAAGTTTTAATCATTTATATGTTGAACGATTTGAGATATTACAATTTGCCGTTATTTTTAAAGTTTCATTGCAGGTGTTTAAACCTTTCTGTGTAGAATTACTATGTATTTTAAATAAGAAATTTTTAAAGCCACGTACTGGGTTTTGATATGGGCTAGACGAATAATTTCATTCACTATGTAATTTCACTATCGCTACAAACACTAGAACGGATATTGATGAACGGTAGAATATTCACGGTGGTGGGATTAGGTTTATTGCAAGGCAGTGCTGGCGTCATATAGTTTTTATATATGCCATGACCCGGAATTACATGTTCAGGTCTACCCTACAACTATATGTATATATAGTAAATGGCACAAATATGTATCATCCAAATTGTATTTATAAAAATGAACTCTTCGTTATATAACGTTTAACATACGTAAGTTCATATAATCTTTGCTCTACAGTCAGTACTGTTGTTTTTATTACAACAAACTAAATATATCTGGATTATTAAAAAATAACTTTTTCCTTAACTATCACAAGGATACATGTAGCCGTGATTACTTCAATATGTAATTGAAACGGGATTCGGAAAATTACCACTAAAAATTTACATGAAATAGTAAATGTCCAATTATTGATATATGTTGGATACGTTCTTATGCCAAGAGATTAAAATGCTACAAATGGACATAATTTATAACAAAAATTATAATTTGTAAAAAATGGACATACCAGCGTGGCGTCGATCTTAGTTCTCCTATAATAATACAGGACCATGTCGTCGCTGCGTCTGCAAATCCCGACAAACATTTTGTTTGGTGAAAATCAGTTTGCATGCATTAATTAGCATTGTTCATATAGCCCCATATATCTATAAATCCATTTTGTATTATTTCAACTGGTTACACAATAAAAATAATGTTATGAAATACTTACCTTTCATTTAAATGACTCGCTAAAACTATTTTTTTAATTATTTGTGAAAAGTTGTATTTGTATGTACAGTTGAGTTATGAAAACAAAATGAACTTTTTAAAATTTTCATATCATTAAAAAGAAGCCACTGATTCCACTTTCTCTTATATGTGTCTGTAATTAACAAAACGCAAGTCCGATTGCAATACTTACAGATAATGCGATTAACAAATTTTTATAAAGAGCCAAAGATTTTATGGTAAAACAAAATTTAAAAAAATAAACTATTGGTAGGTTCTTTAAGAAATTGTTTAGAAATTGTTTAGGAAATTGGTAATAGTTTGATATTGCAATAATCGGACAAATTATTTGTATGCCAATTAAGTAATGGTAGATCATAGAGGACACAATAAGCTATTAAAAAGTTAAAAATTAACATATGTTTAACGTATTACTTGTGATCAACAAATAAACGTAATATTATTATTACGTTTCGTTCTATTCAGAAGACCCTATCAACAAGACCGACGCCACACTTTACAATTATTAACAATAACAATATAAATATAAAGCTTACATATTAAAATTCGATGTTGAAAAAAATCTTGTAATAAAATACACATCTCAACATTTCTTTATAAAGAATTCATAACTTTCAACTTCCGCTCAAAAATACATCATACATTATCATTCTTTTTTTAAGTGCATATACAGCGTGTTGCAAAACACCATTTTTCCAAATTTACAAAATTAATAATTTTTTGCAAATCTTCACATATAAAATACTTAATAAACGTAAGTATATTATTTCAAAATATTGAATATTGTTAATGTAGATTAATATTAAACGTTTGTATTTCATATCATATAATACGTTTAAAAATATTGGATACTAGTGTGTTTTGCTGCACGCCAAAAAATTTATTAGCCCTGTAATACTGACTCACATCGTGTAATAATTGACGTATCAAAACTCATTCTCTGATTCAGATACATGACAGTAAAATTGTCTCATTCATACGCTCTAACATTTGTACACACATTTCATATAGAGATTATATTTTTCTAGATGTACGTTAAACAACTATAGCAAATATAGTAACATCCATTAAAAATTCACATAAAAACTGCTTTTGAGCCCTTAACACATCACTAACAAATGCATTCAGTACAGGCAAAAATAGTTTTTTGATTCGCACAATATCTAATGAGTCTAATTTCTCGGGTGCTTTAGAAGCGTTGCGGCGTCGATATTTTAAACTGTAAGAGGAAAGGCACACTATTAAATTATCAATGTTACAAATGATCGAAATAAAATGTAATAAATAAAGATTTAATAAAAAAATATAATGTAAGTATTGGTAATACAATACGTATTCACAGGTAAAGCAAACCGGAAAAAGTAAAAAAAGAAGAAAAAAAAGAAAGCATAACGTAAAGCTGATTATTAGAGCCTTTGAGCAGAGCGGAGCCAGGGACTAGAATTTTGAGACCGTTTTTGTCCGAATTTTATTATTAAATTGATATTCAAGACATTTTTGACTTATGACAAAAACTTCATCATACTAATTCAGATTAGTATTCAAAATGTGCAGTAGTTATAAGAATAGTTAACAAATGAAACCTTAAATAATACTAAACTATTACTCGTTCTAAGTCACCGTGTTCACACTAAATTAATTACGATAAAGTAATAAACGTATTGTTACATTAATTAACTGTAAAAATCTTTAATACTTGACTACTGGCACTGAGACTGTTTTCACGGAAATCACTAACGGTTGACCAGCTAGTAAAATACGTCCATGTACTCACCCTGGTCGAAGGTGCTGGGGTTTATGTAGGAGAGGAGGTCCTGGTCACTCATGTCGGTGAGGCCCTGAACCGGCGCGGTCATCTCCTGGGAAACGGCCTGTGACACGGCCTGCGAGACGGCCTGCGACACGGCCTGCGTGACGGCCTGCGACACGGCCTGTGACATGGCCACGAGCGGCGTGTCCGAGGCCTGCTCGGCGGGCGGCTGCGTGTCGGCCGCCTGCATGGCGGCGCCGCCCGCGCTCTCGGACGTGCCCGTGCTCAGGATGTTCGCCGTGTTGATGGCGGACGTCACCAGCGCGTTCATCGTCGTGTCCGACGTCAGGATCTCGGCCGCCGCATTCAGTATCATCGACTTGACGGCGGCCGGCGGCGTCTTCACCGACTGCGGGATGTCCGGCATCATCATCAGCTCGTCCTGCGACCCGCCAGCCGGGAGCACTATGCGCTGGTTGTTGTCGCACAGCAAGCTCGGCGACACTTGTGGGTTGAGGATCACGTCGGGCGATATCGCCGACGCCGGCATCGGGGGAAGGAGATCCGCGTTCGAGTTTCGCGAGACGACTGCCGCGTTCGGACTTAGGATGACGTCTGACGCATGGGACGCCGTGGAAGACGAGGTGGTCGAACCAGATAGGTGATCGTCCACCCTGGAGTTGACCAGCTCGTCGAGTTTCGCCGCATCGGCCGGAAGTATAGCCGCCGTTGCCTTCATAGCATCTTCCACCAAAGCCTCCATGTGAGCACTCTGCTGGGCCAGTCTTTGTTCGATTTGCGTCGCGCCCATCTCCATTTTGGTGATGGCACCGAAAGGGTTGTATGTTTCCTGGGGCCTGTTCGGTTGCATCTGATTATAGACGATCAGTCTTTGCTCGTTCGGCGATTGCATATTCGAGTCTCTCATCATGATGTCGGGATTGAGCACTTTCATATCAGTCTCGAGCGAGTCCATAGACCTCTTCGCGGACATCAGCTGCCTCATGGGATCCATAGACGCCATCGGCATTATGGGAGGGTCGACGTAAATTTGACCGCCGTTATCGTCGGAATTAAATATGGCTGCCGTAACGGATTCTACCATCTTATCAGTTTGCACTTGATTTTGTATGGCCTGAAGTTGCTGAGTGAACGACGCGAGGGGCGAAGGGGACTCGCTTTGGGAGGGCGTGCTAGGCGATAGTTTGATGGAGTCGTAGCCACTCACGAACCCAACCTGTCGACATTCGATTGGCATTAATAGATTACCAGACATTGGACGTCTGTAAACAGAGTCAGTGGTGGTGTGTGTGTGTGTGTGTGTGTGTGTGTGTGTGTGTGTGTGTGTGTGTGTGTGTGTGTTATGTGTGTGTGTGTGTGTGTTAGGTATACATGTGTGTAGGGCGGCAATGTGTAAGTGCGCGTGTGTATGTGTGTGAGTGATAGGCCGTGTGCGTATGTGCAAACCTGCGGGGGAGTCACGCGAGGCCTCGGTCTTGAGGCGAAGGTCGACGGCGGGGAGAGACGCCGGCAGAAGAGGCTCGGGTCCCTCCGCGCCGCACGACTCCTCCTGTTCCACCAGCGACTGTTGGCTCGACTCGTCCGGCACCTGCGTTTGTATTAATATGCTGTGGTCGTGTCATACTCCACTGCGAGTGGATTAGATTAATAATTATTGCGCCTCTGTATGTTATTTCAATAAAGCATTTGCGGATTACTAAGCGGAGCGAATACACATCGGAAATGAAGCTGGATCGATACTAGCAAAATGTATGATTTCGATGACATTGTCATGGGGAAACAAAATATATAGATGCATGCTAGTTTCGAGTTGGCAGACATAATTTGCACAAGAACTTTTTTTTTAATTATTAAAGATGAAAGTATTTCCAAAGTATAAAATATAAAATCTGTACAAATTAATTTCATTCAATGTATTCGCGTTGATATGAGTAATAACTTAAAAAAATCATCAAAAAATCTAACAAAACTTAAACTGCGTTGTATTTTGTCATAAAAAAATAATTAAAGCTGCATTTTAAATTACAAAGCAAGAAATTTGGTGAATTGATAAAGAAGCTAATTTACCGTATTGAAAACATGTAATACCTAACACTTAAGTATGGTAGTGTGACTTACCTCGCTTTTAAGGCCGAGCGGCGAGTGTGGGTCGGGCACTATGAGCGAGGACCGGCGAACGGGCAGCGCGGGCGGCGGCATGATGCCGGGCGCGCCCCCGCCGCCCGCGCCCCCCCACAGCAGCAGCGGCCGCGCCTCCTCCGCGCCCGCGCACGCCACCGCTCCCGCTCCCGCTGACGCTCCTGCACACACGCAAAACTCGTCAGTAACGCGCTCTACCCTTCACTACCACCTAACTAGGGCCGCTTCTTACGCTGCTGAAAACCTGCACTACAGTCGTTTCGAGAAATAACTGATGGAGGAATAAAACCTATATTTTACACTACATAAATCTCAGACCAACAAAGAAAAAAAGATGAAACGCCGCGTATAAATCAACCGACGCAACAACTAACAGCCATACTCAACTTATTGTAAAAACACGCACCTACATATGTATATGCATGTAAACTCTTTTGAAAAAAACAACATAAACAATATGTATTTGTGTACGTCCAGCAATGAACTATTAAAGACTGATAAAGAACAAAAAAAACGAAGATGCGTGCAAAAGTGCGTGTCAATAAATTGAGCATAGGTACGGCATCACTTGAAATGAACACAGGGCATCGTTTACCTCTATATTTTATTGGTTCTGAGACAAAGATGTAAGTATAACTCACGTACTCGGCTAAAATGTAAAAAAAAATCTTCGGTACTTCTTATAGTTTATGTTTGTGTCAATTTCTTATGTTGTAGAAGTAATAAAATTATAAATTTATGTAAATATATAAGTATTATAATATACATTTTTCAAATTATCTCGAAAACTCTACTAAAAATATTTCCGAATGTCATTAATAGGGGGTGATTTTTCAATTGTGAGATATATGTTATCCATTGAAGCGATTACAACTCAACTGACTATAAAAATGAAACAGCTGAACTATTTTATTCCTTCACCGGTATTTTTTAATTTGTTTATGTTTAATTTTATTCTTTGAATAAATGCTCTATAAAAAAATTGAGGATTGAAAAATTAGCAATTAAAAGACACCGTATTCACTTTGAACAATATATTACTGTTTGAGTATGTAGTATTTCATATAATATAGTATTAATCTGAAGAGCTCATTATGGCAGTTGAAAATATTATTTGCCCTTGATGTTTTAATGTGAAATTACATTTTACTATTTAACAAACAAAGTTTTATAAAAATCTTATAGTTTACTACTCCATCAGATAAAATAATTCATTTAAACCGAAAATATTCAATAAATCGATACTTCAAATCATAATATGTACCTATAATACGGCCAACTAGCAGCGATACGAAAGGTCATTTACCTTTCACTAAACCGACTGTGGAGTTGACAATCTATTATCTATCTCTTTCGATCTTGTGTATTTATCGTAATGTCTCGTTTCCCCGGCAAAAACATGTCAGGGTAAAGACGGGTTCGCCAACATTCGGGAGGCCATTTTAGTAATTGTTGTTTATTTAATTATTGTTATTTTGTTTTGTTGATAATCGTTTTTTATTAAGAGTGGTGAATAATGGAGCCAGAACCAAGTACGTCGAGAAATAAATCAACAGATTTTACTTCTCAGAAAAAGAAACGTCCAAAAGTATGTGTAGGAATAGAATACATATCAATGTTGTTTAGTAGTTTTAATTGAAACTTCTTGGTTCGGAGTGTATTTTAACGTTATCTTAGTTATTAAAAAAACAGCAACTGTAATAATAAAACTTTTCTTCATTTATTAAAGATGCATGTAAGTAAAGTATGTTATTATTTTAATTTAATTTTTAATTTTAGGTGACTAGTTTTACTGTGAATGAAAAAAATATGGTTATTAATACCTACAAATATGTTAAAGAAACTTGGTTTAGTAATAAAATACTCATACAGAAAAAGATGGCGCAGAAAGCATTTCTTTAATTAGAATCTACATTATATAGTAATTCAAATTATAAAAAAATTTATAATAAGTCTATTTTTTTGGTTTGCCAGACATTTTTTAAAACTATATTATCTACATATATAATCTAACTATCGAAAAGTTAAGCACCCCTGCTATTCCTAAAATATATAATAGCCTAGCATTGGTTTTATATACATTTGGTATCGCTTCTCGTTGGCCGTAGTATAGCTAAAATTTTATTTTTAATCTAAAATGTCAAAAAAAATATTTTGTTTTACACAATAGTGACTCGAGTGAAGTACGCATGCTACATGATATTTAAAAAAAAATCGTTTATTTAAATGTGGTTCTCAAAACAACTGCAAGAGATTTCGAGCAGTATACTGAAAGCTATTCAAAGAGCGGCATGGGCGCATCTAGGTATTGGTGTTGGAGGGATGTGTTTCATTCTGTAAAAAAGTGTGCTACTGCAAAGTAATCGGTCGGTTGTGTAAAGTTTCAGAAGAGTAGATACGTATATTATATTTTAATGAGTCGCAATGAAAAACATATTATTAATATTTAAGACACTAATTTTCTTCATTATGATAGCCTTAGCATATAGAATTTATAAAAAAGTATGCTCGACAGCTGTAAGACAAAGAACTGATTTATGCAGTGCTATTTATTTTATTTTTAACCCACTTATTTTATGACTATGATATTCTAAAGACTAATTGAATAATAAACAAAATATATGACGCGACCACTGTGAAAATCGGTAGGGCTATAATTTTTTTATTTAACTGGAATTATTTTAGAGCTTAGATTTCAAATTCATTTAAAATCTAAGCTCTAAAATAATTCCAATTTTAAATAAATTGCTTTGATTTTTGTGTAAAGAATAAAAATAAATTGTGAATATGTGAGTCATTAACATGAATTAGTGTGAGTAAATCATAATGCTTATGTGAGAGTTGGCAATATTTGTATTTTTAATCAACCTTTTTGATTCATAGCTTAACTTAAAAGACTTGCCCGTACTCACCATGCTGGGCAGGTGACGTGCCTTACTTAGTTGTATTATTGATATGGTGCGTATTTAATGTTTGTATTAAATTTTAGGGTAGCTTTACGTTTTGTAGATTGAGATATTTGAGTTGTGAAAAAGTATTCTGTCAATGTTTATGTGAGAATATCTATCGACATCACGTGTGGTGGTGTGTGATGTGGTGGTGGCGGGTGATGTGGGGGTGTCAGTACCGTGACGGGCGGCGCGCGGCGGGCTGCGGCGGCCGATCTCGCTACCTAGACAGACCTAGCTTGAACAGAAGGGAAAAAAGAAACAGTACGCTATTTGCGCATCAGTCATTTCTTCCAAAATAATATTTCTCACTTATCTTAGGTCTCATATCAATTACCATTACATGTAAACATGCAGAACACAATAAACAGGAAGCAACTGTTACTGCGTTAAGAAGCAACGTGCTGAGTGTTAGGCATGCCACTTGTTAGTCATTTTAACTTTAACTTTGCCTTTAAAACTTTTTTAGTTTCACTTGTTTGATAATTGATATTAGATTAATTATGTAATATTTTAAATGGGTTACTTATTTGTATTTGTTCGAAAGAAAAATTAATTTTTACGAGCTAAAGATGCTAGATAAAAAAGAGATATGACAAAGTATAAAGTTAAATATGCAAATAAATTGCTACACATTTAAATAAATACGCAACTTTGTTAGGCATATTAAGAGCTTCATATTCAGATGGATATTTCTAAGTTTTGTAAAATAAAACATAATGTAATAATACTATGCTGCAAAATATATTCAAACCAAAAAGTAAAAAATATTTAATTAACCTCTTTGATTCGGTAAAAGATTTTTAATAGCAGTGAATTCCATCAAAAATTATCATTATACTATATATATTTATATATCATGTAATTTTTAAAGTGGTTTTCAAAATGGACAAGCGTTATTTTAGTTGCAACCTAACACAATTCAAGCCACATAGGGTGTTCGACTTTGATAATTAGCTATTTGTAAGAAAAAGAGATATTGTTTAAAAAGTAGTGGAAGCAATTTAAAATCCTTTTATAAATAGGAGATAAAAGTTAAAATGGTCAAAAACCCTATTGTTAACTTTGAAAATTAGTATGTGAAACATGTTTTACAGCAATTTAGTACTATATTCCACAGATAAGCATATTATTTGCTTGCAGTCATAACATATACTACGTATTATAAATTGTATCGTACATCAACAATAACTGGAAGCGAATGCACGCTTTTCGTTGCTAATGGCATAACAAATTGCAAAAATGAAATTAAAAATTTTAGCAAACTTATTTCATAAAACAATATAAGTGTTAAGAGGTAAAGGAGGCCAACTTTAAAAATGTTGCAAAGGTAAGCCATCTCCTATTTTTCTAGTTGGTCTTTGCCGTAAAAATGGTCACAGGCATGCCTAAAAATGTCGCACGCATGTGCGTGAAGTTGACTGATTATTCAACTTATATAGACTTTTACAGGAGGATCGTCCGTAGAAAAGGAACGGTAAATTTTCCAAGGGCTATATCTTCAATGTGAAAGTTTATTTTTCGTAAAAAGTTGAAGGTTACATAATAATAGTAATATAAAGAGGTTATATTATTTCTAAAGTGTAACAAATGGCTCCGTCCTGAATTTAGTGTTGGTTGCGTCAAAGAGAGGTCACTATAGTACCTACTTATTTCATTTTTATAGTTTTTTTTATATAGAATTTAACGAAACGGTTTAGAGTGTTCTGTCAACGCTAGAAATGAGTTGTATTAGTGAATGTTCCCAACAAAACCAAGCAAAAAAACCTACTTGTATAATACATATATAATTATTGTTAATAAAATAATTTATGTGGCAAAGTAATCGTACGTATTTTCTGAGCGTTCCAGTAGCAGTTGTCATATAATTGAACTATATAAATTTGTAAATCGATTTCATCGGACGTGTTTAGAATTTCTATGTGACTTCTCTGAAAGTAGTCTATTTATAAATAAAAATCAGCTACGTATTATCATACTACATATAATTGTAGACGATTGATTAAAAACTGAAAATATACTTATTGATATTATAAAAGAAAAAACCAACTTCAATCATCGTCGGAAGATAGTTGGTCTTTATATGGGACCAATGCAAATAAATTTAACTTTGTTAACTAGCTTACGATTTGTACATGTAATGAAAAATCTAATAAGATTGGATTATTAAAAATGTATATTGTCTATAAAACTAAAGTGATTAATGAACACACCGTCCAACTGATGGTAAGTGGTTACCGTAGCCAACTTAAATCAAAGAACTATAGTAAGTAGCATTGTCACCTGTAAGGATTAACATAGAATGCAACTCGTAAAATGACGTAAAAAGGGGGCAAGAGATACGGACCTTAGAAAATCTAGTGGCTCTAAAAACGAATTACATAAAAACATTGTAAGTACGTTGAACAATGCTTTAACAGGATCTGTGCTCGAGTTGACCTTTAAAAAAAAGTTGAAAGTAACATCATCTGTCATGAGCTGCTCCGATGGTGATATAAATTTTAAGTTTTAACTGTCAAGCTGTATTTAAAATCTCACAAAAATTTTGCAATGTGACGCATCAGCATATTGTGAACAATTTTCCTATTACTTGACACTGGCAAAAGTATAATCGTATAAGTCCATAACCAAAGAATAAAAGTCGGGCTGTGGCTGTGGCGAGGATACGGCCATGTACTTTACGTGAATACGTGTTCGTGACGAAACGATCTCAAAATGGCGGCGCTTCCCCTCCACATAGTGCGATGCGTCACAGATGACTGTGACGCATTCAACGTAACCAATTTTTTGATTCATTCGCCGTTGAGTGGTGTAATTAAATTTTGGATATAGATGATAGATATGTAGTTGCAACACCAAACTGTATTCCCCGATTTTGTTATCGTAAACTTTATGAATTATTCAAGTGAAGAAAAAACATGTGTGTAGTTCACACGCGGTGGAAGCGAAACCTTCAGAAAAGGAAGCTTAGATAATACGAAACATTATATATTGTGTTCTATCTCATTCTCTCGCAGACTAAATCCCATAAAAGTAAATGTTTGTCTTTATCGTGCTACAAATCAACGAATCTAAAGAAGTTTTCAAGGTTTTGTCAAGATCTCCCAAGTACTTTTCAAAGTGACGCATCGGCATAATGTAAAGAAGTTTTAGAAACAAAATATTATTAATAATTTCATTACTTGACACTGGTACTTGACCAAAGTATTATCGTGCGAGTCCATAACCAAAGAAAAAAAAACTGCCATGAGCACAAAAAGCGCGCGCGCACGCAGTAGACGTGCGGAGAGCGTACGGAGCGGTGCGGAGTGCGGAGCGTGCTCACCTGCGGCGTGGTGGCGCGTGCAGTGCAGCGGGCCGGTGTCGAGCGCGGTCGGCGTGTAGTAGAACGTGTGCGGCTCCGACGCCTTGCCGCCCGACCGCACGAACAGCTGCACCGTCACCGTCTCCGCGACGTCCGCCCGGCAGTACGCCGGCACGCAGCACACGAGGTGCGTCTGCAATACAAACAAGCTCCATTGATCGTCTCGTGGATGAGGCGATTGGTAACAACTTGCTAATAACAATAACTAGATTAAAAATAACTACAGTTGCCAATCAGCGCACCAGGTGCGTCTGCAACACGAGTTATCGTTCAACGTTGTTGATCGCATAGCGGTGTAATACCCACTGCCCCATATCGTCCTGCACCTACAGGGCGCAACTGAAACAGGATAAACTGCAGCATCTTCCTGGTAACAACTCAAAATTATAAAAAAACTACGACAACTAAACGTGGCAAACGTGGCAACCATGGCAAAATCCATTTGATGCAATCCATTGGATCTCTAACCACGATTAAGTACACTTTTTATGAAAAACGAGTAAACAATCTAGCTGATGTCATCAGACATCTATTACATCTATCCTCGATTAACAACTCAAATGCAGATGCATTGTCACCCCTGAGGACTAAGACGGAATGTCTCGTTTTTAGTAAAAAGATTTCGGTCGGACTGAGTTCATTTTTAAAATATTTCATTTCAAAGTGAAAGAAGCTTTTGTGAAACATAGTAAATGTTAATTTAGTACATACTGTTAATGGGGTGCTATATTTAATTTCTCGGACTCTCTGCTTCTAGTTGTAAGAGTAATCAATTTCAAATATATTTCTTCGAATAAATAATTCTTTCGGTATATAATTGTAACGGTTACATCAATCAAAACTGTCACTAACCTGTTGTAGGAACTCTTTATCGGGTACGACCTCCTCCTCCCAAGTGGTTCGGCCGTCCTGTCGCTGACAGAAGACCACCCGAGTCTCCTTTAGGAAATTCTTTCCCAAAAGATACAGCTCCAAGCCACCGGTTGCAGGACATGAAACTAGCGACTTGCGACAAACTTCTGGAACGCCTGGAGGTTGAGCTGAGAAAAATAATATACAAATATTTAAAAAAACATTTGATAGATCTTTCTAGTTGGGTACATAATATATGTACCTACCTAACATAATTTATATACGTAATATTATGTACGTAAATGAAAACAATGTAAAATAATTACACTGTGCAGTTGTAATTTTTAACCCCCGACGAAAACAGCGGTATTATAAGTTTGTATATTAGTAGTATGTATCTGTTTTTGTGAATTGTGGTTTCATTAAATTTTTTTCGTAACGTACTTAAAGGGTTGACAATATTTGCTTAATTCTGACTGACCCGACATCCTGAGTTGGCTTTTCATCGGCACCATTAAAGAAAAACATAAAAAAGGCCTGCATGTTTGAGCGATCAAAAACATTTTGAGGACTTCTTCATGCGAGATCCTCCCAATGAGATTTTGAGCATTATGTAGGTTGGTGATATTTTTATTAGCAAATTAACAAAGTTTACGGAGCTGCACGCAACACAAAGTTGTGAAGCACTAAAACAAGAGTAAGGGAAGGAGACTCACTGCATATAATCTGCGTGGAGCAGACCTGCAGCGTCTCTGGCTGTCCGTTTGCGTCCAGGATTTCAGTGCGGAACACCATGCGGCAGCGCGTCGACTTCTTCTTGCCGCGCGCGGCGTGCCCTCCCACGCCCCCCAAACCCCCCCACACCCCCGCCACCGCCTAGCGCATCCCCGAACCGGTGCTCGACGTCCACGTTACGCTCCTGTAACGAATGGGACTAGTATGAAATCTGGAAGATATCCCATGTTCTATTCGTACTTGATCACACTTAAAGTAGCTTCAGTAGTGAGCGTTCGGCGGGGCGTGCGACGTGGCGGCAAATTTCCCAAACAACTTGAGCGGTCACTCAATACAATATAATATATATAACAAACGGTGTTTCTTCTGCGCGCTATACTATTCCCTGCAACACGATCTCCACTGAGGCCTTACTCTAACATTTTCTTAAGGAAATTTCTTATTCCATGATGATTTGAGAATATTATAAGATTATAATACTAAATAAACAAAATACAGCATTAGTCCGTGAAGTCGAGAATTATATAAAAAATATTAACATAAATATATAAAATATAATTAAACAAAAAATTTATTGGGTATCGTTTTTATATACGATTACGTAGCACGAATGGGTCCGAGGTAGGACCACGCTCTCACAGGATACCAGCGTAAAATAGCAGTTTAATGATGCTGTGTTTCGTATGGTGAGTGTAGAGATCCGGAGAGCCTGTTTTACTGGAAGGCACTACGAGGCATTCCATCTTAGTCCTCTGTGGTAGTACACATCTGCACTTTGATTCTTAATCGAGGATAAATGTGGATGTCTATGGGCCACAGCATCCACTTACCATCAGGTGAACTGTGTGCTCGTTTGCCACACTTATTCTATAAAAAAATTATTAAGTTCCTATGTTCGGTTCCTTTTCAATCATGATTGATCATGATTTTCTTTCCTTTAAAGAGATTCGTAAATTTTAAAGCATGTCTGTTAAACCCAGTCAGGTATCGATTGAATGACTAGTCTGATGGTAAAAATAAATAGCAGCAACAGGAACATATTATCAAATAATGGAAGCTTCACAAACGATGACCCGCCGTCTGGCGCTGAGGCAGCACGTTGACCTCAGATAAAGTGCGGTGCCGGGCGACGCAGATACCGGGGGACAAAGGCCAAGACGCTCCCGAGCGCGCGCGATAACAACCCGATAGACGCCTATATTGGACTTCCGATTGCCGGCTTGTTTAGGGTCCGACGGACAAGATGCACCCATTGTGAAATTAGACTCAAATAATAGTGGAGACGCACTTTATATCGATGAAGAGATCAATAATACAAAACGCAAAATTACTTATAGTTTGGAAGTATACGACAATAAGATTGTGGAAACTAATAGGGAGTTACAGGATAACGTATAAAAATGATTTAAGTCATAATGAAATGAATTCCATAAATAAAGATGTTTAAATAACGAAATTTGAAACTTCAATTGGCGCAAAGTTTGGAGAATGAATGAAGTTTGGAGAATGGAAAATATTGTCCTACCACAAAGAAATTTAACACAAAATCAAAAGGTAGTTTTAACATAATTTATGACGAACTTTAAGTGAAGAAAGCATTAATTTACGTAATACTTTTTGATGTATTATTATTTTTTGCATTGCACTGATTGTATATTATTTTGATAGGTTTAAAAATATTTGTTACACGCATTGAAAACGTGTGCGTTGCACGTGGTCCGCCAGTTGGTATCGGTTGGGCGGTCAGGATTCGCGATCAGACACATATGATATGGATTACAATCTAAAAATATAAAAAATTGTAATACACGGTATACCGTTTATTATAATTATTCCAATGTGTATTACAATGTAACGGCTAGGAGTTGTTAGCTTACGTATAGAGATAATCTGAAATAATTTCTACATTATTATCATATAGAAGGATGTATATCATAAGAAACAGGGAAAGTCGCTAAACCTCGAATGTTAAGAACAGTTTTCGTCACGCTTACGATCTAATAAAAAAATTATCATCAACACTAACTTATAAGCTCACAGAACGAGCGAGATGAAATAATGTGTAATATGAGAAACGTTCGAGTTAAGAAGTTATGTAGCTATAAAAAATTAAAATACTTTTAAAAAGTAACATTAAAAATGTTCTAATAAATAATTCAACATATTATTCTATTTATTTATTCTCTTTATAGCATACAATGAGATATACAAACATTGATATTAAGACAAATTATTATTATTATTCTTATTCTTATAATTTATTCCTATAATATATTAAATGTTCAAATAGGTAGTCTTATCGCCAAGCATCGATTGCTTTAAGGCAAACTTTTGGTATATAAGTTTATTTAAATTTTATTTATTACTAGAAAAATATTATTTAAAACGGACTTCACAGACTATATATGTATAAATATTTTGGCAAAATTTCTGAGTACGTACCTTGAGTATGCCAACGCAATCGCAGGTGACCTGCCAGTTCTTCGCGGGCTCCAGGTCTATTTCGATTATGACGGTGCCGTCCTCCTTGCGTTCCTTGCACGGCGTGGAGTTTTTCCCGGAGACGCGGCACGCCTGGTAGAACATATGCGGCGCCACGCGACCCGTGTCTGTGCCGATGAACACCTGCCAGGAACAACAGGATACAGTGGTAACAAGCTTAATGGTTCAAACAGTAATTAATAAAACCGTCTGCGCTTTAAAGTTAACGTTAAAAAGTCTATGTTAAAACGTTTACGTTAAAAAGTCTACTTTAAAAAGTTTCTCCCATAATTAAGACAAATCTAAAAACACCTCATACGTTCAACAAGCCGTTTAGGCTACAGAACGTACTCTCGAACGTTACCCCACTTCTGAGGACTGCCTGCGCGAGCCCTCGCCGTATGCAGTAGATAACGTGACACCCATTACTAACGAAAATGAATTTGAGAAAAAAATCAATATTCGAAATAACGCCTGCCAAGCGTGTAAGCTATGGCAAATTTCCCACCATTAGGTAATTTTTGGGGGAGGCCTGTGTTCACCAGCGAACTTCTGAAAGGCTGTTATGAAAGAATAATGGAAGAACTAGACAAAACTCAAGTAAAATATGATCCTTTACTAACATATGAGGCGTAAATTACTACGTACTTACGTTACTAACATAATGGATAGTAAATTTCGACAGTATTAAAATTGATCCTTACCTGTAAAACGGCAGGTTTATCATAGCCCACCAATTTCACGATTGGGAACCCGTTGCCGGAGTTGTCTTTCACGGCGCCCCGGCTTCCCTCAGTCTGATATCTGCAACAAAAGTGGCACATGAGAAAAACGTTAAACAAAAACATCCCTTAAACATATAGGTACACATTCTATTACGACATAATGTCGTATCATATATATATATATATATATATATATATATATATATATATATATATATATATATAAACACTATAGGCAAATACTTCACACTTACAATTTGATATTGCAACACTATATTTATATAACCAGTTTGTATTACGATCAAATGAGTCATACATTATAAACTGCTATGACTCATCTCAGTATTTATGAAAGTATTTTTTTGTTAAAAAAGTTGATATTCTTACAAAGAAGTTTTTCGTAAACTTCTTAAGTGGCAAAGAAGCCTTAAATTATTGAATAAATCGAGGAAAAGTTTCCCTTTAAACTTATTGTAGGAAAAAGTTTCCACTGTAGTATGCGGTAGAGCTTGCCATGCTTCAGCTATAGTAAGGTGGTAGCACGAATGGGTCGGCTCAACCAGGGAAGAACCACGTCTCACAGAATATCAGCTTATAATAGCGGCTTATATGGTGAGTAGTAGTGTTGATCCTTTTTACTGGAAAGGAGGCATTCCATCTTAGGCCTCAGGGGTGATAACAAATATCTGCATTTCGATTCTTAGTCGAGGATGGATATAGATGTCCATGAGCCACAGAACCCACTTACCATGAGGTGGACATTGAGCTCGATTTTCACCATTTATCATCATTGCAGCCCTTCACAAATCCACTGCTGATCATAAGACTCCCCCAAGGAATGCCACAAAGCACGGTCCTGAGCCACATGCATCAATTGACTTTCTGCACCCTTACCAGTTAATTATTGTATCTCGTAGGAGACCGACTTCACATTTCCGACTGGTATGAGGTTACCACTCGAATGTTACCTTGCCTACGTGTATAAAATTATTGTTGCATAAATATATAATTATTAAATTATAGCACCATAACCCCTTTTTCCAATATGTATATGAAATAATGGAAAGAACAGAAACATACCTCGCTCGATGTTGCGTCTCTGGCTGGCAGAGTATCTGTAGCTCCACCCTCCCGTCCCTCGACCGGTTGGAGAGTGGCGCTGCGAGGCCCGGCGCTCCCGACTGCGACATCGCAGCCAGCGCTCTCCGCCTGGCCAGCGCCTGTGCCAGCTTGCCACCGTACTTCCCCCCCAGCTTTCCTCCCAACTTCCCACCCAACTTGCCACCTACTCCAGCCAGCTTTCCGCCGCCCGAGTACTTTCCTGAGAGTTTTCCACTGCTCCCCAGCTTCCCGCAGGACCTGTACGAAGGGTCCTGGAAGCGTTTCCCTGGATTCTCAGCAATATTTGGACTAGATATACTACAGCCGGCTCTTATCCTGTAATAAAACGTTTAGTTTAGTTTTATATTCGTTTTTCCTGTTATAGATATGATATGAAGAAGGAGTTAATAAATTAGATATTAAGTAAAATTGAAAGCGTGCATTGAAAGTCAAGTTCTAAGAGTAAGTTACAATAACATAAAAGAAAAAAATTAAGTTTGTACAAGTTAGGTTAAAGAAGACTTATAGTTTAAGCTCTTACATCTAGAAGAATATAAATAATAATAAAGCTCAGTCGAAATGATAATAGACCTTCGCTTGTAAACTAGTCGTTAATAAAAAATAATAAACATATCATGTCATGCCACTAACGTATTCGATTTTCTATATAATACACTTTTCCACTTTCTATTCAAGATTTGGTGAAGCCTTTTCCATTCCAATTACCTGAAAATCATTAAACTGGAGATATAAATTATAAACGTTTGTCAAGTGCAAACTTCTACTCACTACTGCAAAGGGAAAGCGAAATTTTCTTTTTAATAGGTATGCAACACAATAGTATATTTTTAGACAATGACTTCGTGAAATCGTTATTCTTTGCACCCTAACGAAATTCTTTTATAAAGATTAAGTTCCGAGTGAAACTTGTTTTCTTTTACGGATTTCATCTCATTTTACGTTACTTATGTCTTGAGTACTTTGCAGAACCCATGGTCACGTGAGGACAGAGGTGATCTAAGCCAAAATGTCATTCATTATATAGTTTCGTTTCTTGTGTGGTGTACGTGTTAACGTCACAGCCAATTAAAAGATCACTGCTGAACATAGTCCTCCCCTAGATGGCCTCGTGGGGGGGGGGGGACATTTGCGGTTGCTAACCTAGTTTTTTTTTAATTTAAAGTTGTTGCTGGGAAGACGGTGTTTCACTCTGTCGCCTCTCACTACGCCCACGGAAAGATATGGGATAATGGATTTTCTTTCACCGCTACTACGCGGTTCAGTGTACGTGTAATTTATAAGAAATCATCAGGGTTGCCTTTGTTTTGTTATTGGTAATGATTATATGTTATTAGTACGGGAGTATGTAGTATGGGTGTATGTAAGTTTCACTTATCCCTTTATGTAATAAAGGGATAAGTGAAACTTCAATTACCTATTCGGACAATTAAACACCCGTTCCACAAAATATCACAGAAGTTATGGCAGATTTTAGACATTGATGAGTGCTGGGTGATACATACATATATAAACCGATATAAAATAATTCGATCCTGTGCAATAAATGGGATTTACTTAATAAATGTATTATGACCGCGAAGGCATTATCCGCGCGCATGAGCGTGAGTGAAACATGTCCACAGAGGCATTATAATTGGGCCTAGGAGACTATTGACCCGCTGGATCGGTCTGCCTTCTTGGACAACGTTTTAAAATAGTTGTCTGGCTAACATATGTCAAAATAGAGCTTCAGAATCTAAGTGAAATTGAGTAATTTTGTGTGAGCTTTAAGACGTCTGCAAAACGATACTGCCGACGGAAAGTGTCTGGGAGTATTGATGACCGATTTTTAACGATATTATCTAACATATACGTAAAAATCAGCTGGGAGAATTAAAGTGAAGTGAGTAATGTTTTTTCGTACCTTGATTACCTGATACCTGGAAAATGGCCGTCTGGCCAAGACAGCAGGTAGGCATAGTAGATACTAACACTACTCATTCTTAGACATTTCGTTCGTCAGAAAATGAATGACGTCTGGTGGCCATGGGATCTTGGGCTATATTGTAAATTATTCTTGATAAACTAAATTAAATTTATTAAAGTGGAATGCTTGTACTTTTTATTGATTTGGGAAAATAATTAAGTTTTATTTAATATTAATTCAACAAAATTCAAAAATCAACAAAAAGCAAAATTACCGTAAGAAGAGTGAGGAGCATCGAAAACATTTGGTGTTTCAAAAGCTATGCATAATTACGTAGACTTCACGTCTACGTAATGGTGTGTGCTGTGTTAGTACGTGACAACAGCCTCTGCAGATATCACGTATCGGATACATATAGCTGGTGTGACGTCGAGTAAAATATTTAGACGTGCTTTTCTCGCTATAGATACATCGATGTAAATTCATAATTCAAAGTGTCAGTGTCTAATTATGCTTGCGTTTTGTCTGATATTGTGATAAGGCTACTTATTACGTGATTAAGAATTATAAACGATTTCATTACCTCAAACATCTTGTAAATTATCATAAAAATATACGAATAGATATGTGGAAATGTGTATCAATAGAGTAAAGCAAAGTTGTATTAAGCATGCTTATAGTAGCAGTAATGACACCACCAACACCCGCGAACTGTTGTAATAGCAAAATAAAGTTTCCATAAACATGTACGCAACTAAAAATATAAATAAATTATATGTAACATACACGGGGGCGGGTAGTAGAGCGGTCGCTGTGTCGAGCGGAGCGGGCGCGGGAGCGGGCGCGGGCGCACTAACAGGCGCATGCGCGGGTGCGCCAACGAGCGCTAACGGATACGCGTCGTTAGCGTCGTCGCACTCTATCTTTACCGGCGGCTCGTTCCCGCGCCGTCTTTTCCTTTCACTGTGTTCCCACTCCTCCACTGTTTCAGTACATCTGTGCACACGCGCCCATATATCCTTCACACTACATCCAAATTAATTTTGAATAGTTTCGCCTATAAAAAAACTTATAACGCATAAATCTTAGAGGAATTAGATCATTGTTTTAATTTCTCATTTTATATACTTATTAAAATTCATAAATTTTCTAATACGTGATGTATTTCGCACGCTGCTGATTATATATTGCAATAGCATTAATAAGAGAAGCCCAACAACTTTCCAAAAAAATCTTCGGGGCAGTCAAGAATAGCAATTTTTATAAATAATAAATACATAATCAGGCATATAATGTCGCGGAACGTAACTCTAGCGCTGAACGAAACGTGGAGGGGATAGCTGCGAATGTCGTATCAGTACGGGGGATGGAATGCGAATGGAGAGCCAATCAGCGCGTGCGAACGATACGCACAGCCAATCACACGCAATAACGATCACCGCTAGACTTTCGTTCCGCGAGTACCTCACTACCTCACGATTAGTGTAAGTGAGCCCTAGACGGTGTACTTAGAGTATACATAAGCTGGCTATCTAATGTATACTCTAATGTAATGCAGTATGACATGCGTCACATGAATAATCATGCTGCATGACGGGCGCTCATGCCAAATCATTAGGGATTTTATCGCATTTCAGGACGACTTGGATAAAGTATAACTATAAAGTAAGTAAGTTACGGAATTATTGTTTCTGATTTATTTTTTATAGTACCTTTGCTGCGCAGCAAAAAAATTGTTTAAAGAAAGATTTATTCTCTTGTTTTTGTCCATTTATGCTTTCCTTTTCGTGCTCTACAATTTTTGTACATTGGTAACAACGTTAACACGAATTCATTTTGGTTTTGAGAATGTTCGCTGTAATTAAGGCCGTTTCGGAACGAACTGAGCTGTTGCATGACAAGCTAATCCGAAGATGATCATACGTGCATGTCGGTCTTAGTTTGCAGAATGATAAAATGAATTATCAATCAACCGTCATCGCGTAATTTGTATGTTTTTAGCATCAATCAATACAATCAAAGCAATTAAAGCATACATGACCGTCTAGGGTCCACTGAGGACATGATATTTTAAGCGGTGAAAAAAGCTTCATGATATTATGAAGTAATGCCCAGCATAAATAATAAATTTAATTTATGTGATACTTGTATAAAGTTACAACCGCCTTAGAAATAAGTTATGATGATGAAGCATTATGTATACATGTAATAATAATAATGTCCTCCAGACCGAATTTCGGTCATGGCGGCCAGCCTCAACGAAGACTAGCCATCGGTACAGGACAGAATTATAGTGCCCGAGTGTATGCGCAAGCACAAGTGCACATTTTCACTCTCATAGTCCGATGGGATGGTAAACCGACACGACCGGAAAAAGATCAGGTGCAGGACCAACGGCTTTACGTGCTCTCTGAGAATTTCTTAACGGAAAAACTCATTAAGTAATATTTTTTTGGCCTAATCCGGAATTCCATCTCGGGACCAAGTTTTACAACCACTAGACTAACGGGGCAGTGCATGTTGCAAAATTATGTTTGTCAAAGTCGTTTATGGCATATAATTTTAAGTACTTAATACAAAATGATACAGATATGTAACTATAAGAATTGATTTGATAAATTATTGAAGAAAATTAGAGGCACATTATTTCCAAGTAAAAGTTCTATTCACGTTATTTATGGTAGTTGGCTCAGATATCTTAAATTAATAGAATCTATCGTTATTTTGTAACATAATATTATACACAATTTCTAGTATAAAAATTACGAAACGTTGAAAACCCGTAATATAACTTAAATTAAAAATTTTAAAAAGCCCTCAAAAGAAAAAAAAGAGCTGATGGTCTTCAAATGTCTGAACGGATTAACACATTATCTCAAAACATAGCTAAGTACACTCACGATTAAGACACCACCTTTCAAACCAAAAAAAATCAAAACCGGTTCATCTCTTCAGGAGCTAGGATGCCACAGATTTATGCTTACTACAAACTTACAACCCCTCTGTTGTCGTCGGGGGTTAAATATAAATCTTAGTTAGAATTTTGTATTTATTACACACAATCGTGTGACAATTTAAAAATGTTTCCCAATATGAAAAATCTGATGTTTATCTTTGCCTGATAAATCTTTTCACATGTGCAATGCACAAGCACACGAATATAAAACTATCGATTGTCATTTCATTACAATCCTAAACACTTGGAAATAAGGTTTATTTTGACTCACTAATGGCGATGAATTTGGAAAAGGATAAATCTATTAGCCCGTACTGCACCGTCCTACGCTTATTGAATATTTGCGAATTGGAGTAGTTACGTGGGATGAGTCACGAAGCAGATTGTGCCAAAAATACGATGCAGCACGTGCACGGTTACGGAGCACGCGGTGAACTTTGACGCGCGCGAGTGGCGAAAATGCAAGATTTAATCGTCTGAACTTAAACCCGCGGCATTCGTTTTTTATGAGAATTTTTTTTTCAACGTTGCATTACATGTTCTTTAGAGACATCGTATTATAAAAACCACTAAATTTTAAGAAGCTTAACTATGATTTGCTTTAAACTTTTTTATATAATTGCCAGAGACAGCTGCATTGAATAGGAATAATTTATATACTCGTAAATAAAAAGATATTTACATTAATATGGAAAAGCATGGACATTACTTTTCTATCTGGGGTTGTACTCCGTTCCATTTACAGTAAATAAGATTAGACATGTCCTAATGCCGTTACAATAAATCATATCATCAGATAATATCATCAGATAGCGCTCTCATTAGACTATGTTTAAGGGATTCTGCATCATGACTTAGGCATCCTCTCTAAAACATTAGAAAGGTTTCTGGAAATGTCACCCTTGTCTATAACTTCTCAGTTTGGACAAAGGTATGTCATTTTCAAGATATTCAATAAACATTTGAGGTACCAAATTTCTTTCTCAATATTCTGCGAGAAATTATTTTTCCCCAACCGTCTCCGTTTTCTCCGTTTTTAATAACCAGTTAAAAGCTAAATACATTTTGGCATCTCGGTCTTTTTGACCGAAAAAAATGGAACCGATATTATCTAACTTTACAGTTTGTACAAAAATTATCAGGTAAGTAATCAACGTGAAATTTACAGTTGAGGTTTTGTATTTTCTGTCACACGTTACAATATTTTAAATTTCAAATCATTAGAAATTTAACACACAGTGATTAAAAGTAAGTTGTTTAGCAGTATGATGACTTGATATACTCGTAGTTGATTTAACATTGCTTTAGCACTTTTCCCATCGCCATCGATGAACGAGAAGCGAGTAGAGCTAGAAACTAGATAAGAGTTGGCGAGCATCAAGAAGCGAGTGCGTAGTTCCGATAGCTTTGCCGCTGGGCTGTAAGTGAGTGTACGAGTTGCTCTAAATTCATAGTAAATGCGTGCACTCAGATCCGCACAGTGGAGTAAAATAATCGCTGGTTGGTCTCTCGTCTCTCGGCTTGAGTTTCGACTGTCAAGCGAGCATCGCTAAGGCCCAGTTTACATTTTGAGAAGTGACAAGTGCGAGTGGCAAGTGCAAATGATAAATGGCCTGAAATGATTTATCTGCATTCCTTCAGTTACTGTTAGACGATAAATGAGACTAGGTCGATAGATTATCTTTCGTCGTACTTATTATTTCTTTTTTTTATAGAATAAGAGTGGCAAACGAGTACACAGTCCACCTGATGGTAAATGGATGGTGGAAATAATATATCGTTTTTGCGCTGTAATGCAAATGATGATGGGTCAAGTTCAATTTTAATTTCATCCTGTTCTACAAAAATGTTTTGATCGAAATGTAAATATGCTACATATCGTGTAATTCCGGCACGAAAAATCTTATGACTTCTTAAAGGAGACAGTAAAGCAAAAATGTTTACTCGTACTGTGTCGTAATGAAATTATTACTATCAATTCATTTTTTAAATATAAAAGAAAATTAACTACAGAAGATTGTTAGAGTGAAAAGGCGAGCCTATTTTAGTGTTTTTACTCTAAAATTTCGCTTATTGATTTGTTTATGACGTTTCAAACAACGAATAATGTATAAATAACTAAGTCCCCACTTCAGCTTAGGAATCAAGGCGCCGTTGCATCGCACTTGATCAAGCAATCTAGATTAAGCCGATAAATTCACCTAAGAATATTTTTAATTGATTGTCTCAACAGATAAACAGGGTTAGTGCACGTGCACGTTGCATGTGCATTCCTAATCACGAAGAGATTTATTATAGAATACGAGTGTGAAGTGAAAAGTAAATGCGGCGGCAAATAGACATCTACATTTATCTATTTATTACAATTACAAGAGAAGAATGTCGGACAATTTGTCAAGACAATTATTTTCATGAAATATTTAAAAGAATCTTTACGTGGTAGAGTCACGCTGTCACTATATTGGGACTGCGACACGAATAGGTCGACACAACCGGGGAAGGATCCTGCTTCCACATAATACCAGCGTGAAATAGTAAACTAATGGTCTCGTTCGTATGATGAGTGTAGAGAACCGGATATAATTTTTATTAGTAACGAGACATTTCATCTTAGTCCTAAGGGGTGACAACGCATCTGCATTTTGATTCTTAATCGAGGATAAACGTAGATGTCTATGTGCCGCGGCATTTAGTTTTCACTTCACACTCGTATTCTATAATAAATGTCTTCGTGATATTAGGAATGCTGATTAGATGTCTATGGGCCACGGCATCCACTTACCATCAGGTGAATTGTGTGCTCGTTTGTCACCCTTATTCTATAAAAAAGGAAAGAATAATTACCGCGTAAGAGAATCCATTAACCTAGTCTCATTTATTGTCTATCTGTAACTGAAGGAATTCAGATAAATCATTCCACTTCCTAAAAATTGTTAAATAAGCACGTTATGAATATGAACTCTGTGTGTTTTGCGCTGGGAATTAACTGAGTTTAGAATAGAGGGCGAGAACACGGGAAGGCGACTATCTGTCCCAAGGA